TGGCTATAGTAGATAGTTATGATGAAACATCAATGTTCCGATTCAATCTGCCTCTACCTATCTCCCATCTGCTCCCATAGGATTCTGCCATATTAACGGCAGTTTTAATGGAGGTCTCAGGATCAGTCTGCCCTGGTAAACTGTACAGTAACAATTGTCGTTTATAACCTGGCAGGTTGTTAGGGCCACTGTTAGAGATAGTGACTTGATTCTATCCCTGGTCTCATGTCCAGGCTGACGAGACATGGGGGGGGGGGAGAAAGGGGAGGGGGTCGACTTGCTGATGGAAGTGGGAAACAATGACAGGGATGGGGAGGAGAATGAAAGATTGTAGATGAAAGGGGGGAGAGGATGATAGTTTCTGACAAAGAGAAGGAGGGATAAAAGTTTGTTTGGAATGTAGGAAGACCAGGGTGGGGGAAATAGTTTATGGATGACAGGGAGGAGGTATGGTATGAGGTAGCGGATAGATAGATACAGTTTGTGGTTAGAGAGTAGGGACTGGGATGGAGAGGGGAGTTTTGCCAAAGGGAAGGAGAACATTTCGTGACAGGGAGGGAGAAAGAATTTGTCAAAGGGAGGTGGAACAGTTTGTGGCAGGGAGGGGAAAACAGTTTGTCGCAGGGAGGGTAAAGGTTGTGGTTGAGAGTAAGTAGTTTGTGGNGGGGGGGGGGGGGGGGGGGCAATTTATGGTGGGAAGGGGGAGGAGAGACAGTTTGTGGCTAAAGTGATGATAACGCCTAGTTTTACTGGGGTCACTCATCAGATTAGTGTAACTTTCACAGCCTTACACATGTTTCATTTCAGTCCACTTCTGGGCTTTCTCGGCCAGACAATAGCTGTTTATAGTGATAAGAGTCGGATGTAGTGGTCCTCAATCTCCCAGACAAAAACCAAATGAAACATTTTCTGTTTGTGGTGAAGATATACAGACAAATTCCAATGGATTTATGGCAAGTTGGTTGTTATAAATATGGGTAAAAAAATAAAAATAAACTGTGATATGTTTAATTAATTTGGAAAGGAATTTTGTTTCAAATGACACTTAAATTGGTAGCTGTTTGAAATTAATGTGCTATGATATTTGGAATAGAAGCACTTGATACAGGGTTTAATCCATCTAGTTATAGAGGCATCGCCAACAACACATAATTACAGAGGCAGACAGACAACTATAATTTGATACAGAGGACGAAGTTCCTGGCAAATGGAAATGAATTGACAGTTTCTGTGAGAAAGAAGGTTGCTACCTCCTATGATATTTGTACAAGGGGCTCATTATAAGTCATTATCAAGGTCCCTTAGGATTGTGTGGAAATCTCGGTATTGTACACTGAATTGCCCATAACAGCAGCCACCGAGCTGGCTCTGACAGAAGCTAATAGGGCCCTATCAGGAACACAGGAGAAGTGGTGATAGAGTATTGTGGCTATCGGAAATCCCAAGTAAGATGACCACTGCAATGGTACATTGAGTCCATGAAAGCCAGACACTATGGCCTTATCACCTCAGAGTGACCATTGGCTATCTCTCTAAACTGACCATTATATTGCCACAGCTGACCATTATCATTGAGTGTGTAAATATCTAATCAATACATCTCCAACTTAAGGAGGGACTGTGATGTTTCTATAAAGCCACGGTGCACCAGATGTAGCAAGTACAAATAACAATGTATAGATCTACAACTGTAGGCTTATCACTGCAGGAAGAAAAGTGTCTCATCTCTTGCAAGGTTTTACTTTATTTTCCCCAAATATACCTTTGATGGTAGCAAACTTCACAAGAAAAATGTCTTTGAATAGAAATTGAAACAAATGACAGACAAATTTTCCCATCCATGTTATTTACTTTATCTAACCATATTCAAATGAAATTATTGTTGATTCTATGTGAACTTAATCAATAGGAATTGCTGTTTTATTGATTTGGTTTCTTCTGTCAAAACATCATATAGAAGTAACCTTTAAAATTGGAATTTTAAGTGTCACTTCAGCATTGAGAAAAAGAATTTCAAAAGTAAATCTAAAGTGTCTCATTACATATGTACAAGGTATAAATAAAGTAAAAGATAATTGTTGGGTGATCTCCCCTGTCTGTCACCTGACCTTGATGTCTACCAATCATCTGTGACATACCTGGTAGCTTGTACTCTTAGGTCATCATGCGGCTGGACTGGGTTGAGGTGTTATTTTGTAAACTTTACTTGTGATTTATGTGACTTTATTAATTTGGAAAGAATTTTAGTGGGATTAATATTTTCCTCTTTTGATTTGTGTGGAGTTTTGTAACAATCATATCAACCTAGGTTTGTTGCTTAGTTTCAAGTTTTTACCTACAATATACTTATTGCTATGCATATGAACATCTATATCCCATCCCACCCAAGGACCTTTAAAAATACTGCACAAGTTGAACTTTTATTTTAAAAAATACGAAAAACGTATAATTAATCTTGGAGTTAGTTGTCAGGTCCCATGCAGTTTCATAGGATGTCTATTTATCATAAGGTGAATTCAAAGTTCTTCTTAATTCATATGTTATCTCTGAATTTTGTTTCCCCACCTCTCTATTTCTACATACCGTTTTTAAATCTTGATAACCACTTCCTGTCACCACAAAGAGGCTGTTGAGCAGGTCGCCCCGGGAGACAGATTACAGTTGTGGGGTTAGAGAGTGGTTGTGTCTGTCTGAAATTCTGCAGATCTAATTCCATTGAGAGTTTGCCCTGTCGACAAACCAACCACAAATTATTTCATATGATAAAACATTGGAATAGGGCTTTTACTGCGGCGATAGGGGCAGAGGGTCAGATAGCTACAGATAGTATACACTCTGGTGATGCTGGTTTCCCACTGAGAGGGGACTGGATTTAATGATTGATTGATTCCGGAGATACTTATTCTAACATGCTTTTTTACAGCTTTTTCTCCAGGCTAATTGCATATGTCACCTTCCAAACACTTTGAAATATGTAACATTCATTTTTCCGGCTGGCTAATTGGGTTAGGATGCGTTCCGAAACCTCATAAAGTTAGTAAAAATCAACTTTAAACTGATCCGCTGGAAAGCCCTTGCCCACAGATGGATGAATAATTCAGTGAATTGTTTTTGCACTTAAGATTAACCCAATCAAGCTGCTGACTATGTCTTTGACTTTGCCAGTCTTCACAGCTCCTGCTCTATCATTCCACTGCCTATTAGGCCATTGCATAGAGCAAGCTTTATGGAAGTTTTGCTCAATTTTATTGTTGTAATTTGTGGCAACAAAATCAATCAATATATGATATTCACATGCACTATACATCCTGATTTATGGAAAAATAGAAACTACAAATTTTATTGACACATATAAATGGTATCCTTTTCATGTCATCTGACTCAATATCTCAATTTACTAAGATATTTTTTGAGATAATGTATTTGATAAAAAAATAACCCATTATCACTGTTGGTAATATTGATATACTTATTTACAAATATCTTACTTGATTTGTTAGATATTATCGGGCTTGCATATATATGACTAATAAATTGTAATAGTTATCAGATAAAAAACAATAAAAAATTCTTTGGAAATACATTTTATTTGTGTGTGTGTTATGTATTTCAAATATAAATCCTGTAAATGTTTTTAATATTCTATGCAAGCAAATGAAATGGACAAGATTTATATTCCTCTATTAGTAATATACATCATATATATTTGAATTATCAAAGAGTATGTGTAATATTGATAACCTGGTTACCCTTTGCCATCAACCAAACTATAGCTAACTGTAGGTATACACCAGGTTGTCTTTTTTAAATCATGGTTAAATTAAATTTAATAATTGATCCTGTCCAATCAAGTACTCATTTGTCTATTTGAGGGACTGAAACTTTAATTTACCCCAGCTTTCATTACAGTGCTGGAGACTATCTGATGTGTGTGATACGATCTAGTGGTACCGCATGTTTGAAACTGGCGTGACACATTTCTATTGAGGGATCCATATATGTTTTATAACATGCAAGGTTAAATCAGGTGTAAAGTTGACAGTGTGTGATTGTACAACACGCCCTAATCAATGTAGAGATCTCCACAAGTGAAACCTAAACTGCACCAAGTCATGATAATAGATGTGTTGTATTTCCCTCAAGTATTTCTATCATAAAAACAAACCGAATCAGGATTGATGACCTTGCTTAAATAAATGGCCTTGAAATGGCTGAAAACGCACCAGAGACCATGCAGGGTAAAACCATTGTACTCTGTCAACTCTAGAAAACCCACCTCGCCTTGATACAGATCCTGACATTAAAGGGCTGGAAGCTTCCTCTGCATTGATTCAGAAGAAGATTTATTACTTATGCATGATCATTTTGGCTAGACATGTGTGATCAAATCTACTTTGCTACATCTTTGTGGCATTTATAAGACATTTTTGTTTCTTTGAATTACCTGATCTGACCTAAATTGAAAAAGTTGGTGGAATATTTTGTAATGAACTTGTCATTTGTTTGTTTTACAGCTTCAGGTTTAAAATAATTTTATTTAACCCCTTCACCCTTAAAGTTACATTTGTACCTTACCATATCAACGATTGGGCAAGTCCAGTTTAAATATGTATGGGTTGGGGCTGCAGTGGCCAAGTGGTTAAGGCGTCTGATATTCTGCTACAACTAGCCCTCCACCAGGTTCGAGACATATGTGGAGGTCGCCAGGTACTGGCCGTATGTCGGTGGTTTTTCTCTTGGAAAAAACAAACTAAACCAAACCAAATGTATGGGTAAATGAGTTGTTCCCGAGTCTGATGATGATATTGTATTGTTGTTTTAGGAGTAGGAAAAAACAAACTAAACCAAACCAAATGTATGGGTAAATGAGTTATTCCTAAGTCTGATGATGATATTGTATTGTTGTTTGAGGAGTAGGAAAAAACAAACTAAACCAAACCAAATGTATGGGTAAATGAGTTGTTCCCAAGACTGATGATGATATTGTATTGTTGTTTTAGGAGTAATGAGCAAACTCATACCAGATAATTCGACAATTGCATATGCGTGTGAGGGGAGTACCATGTACCTGTCCTGTAAACAAGACGAACTGATCCGGATCGTCCGCGCCAATTACGGACGCTTCTCACTGACCATCTGTAACCAGCACGGCACAATCTCAGGCTGGAAGCTCCAGTGTGTGTCTATGGCATCGAAAAGAATCGTGGCAGAAAGGTACGAACGTTATTGCATTTGAATAAAAGATATTCCAACAAATCAGAAAAAAAATAAATCAAAGTTTGGGTCACATGATGAAAACACCAAGGTCAGATTCCTACAAATTGGAAAATACATATCTCAAAATTTGGGTCACATGATGTAAACACCAAGGTTGGATATTTCAAATATTATATTAAAAATGAGGTCGGGTTGCTGGAAATTGAATACATGTACAAAATATTTCTAACCTAGTTTAAGCTGAACATTATAAAATAGCAGCATTGCTTCTGTAACTGACTGTTGATATTAAAGCATCAGTTAGTCTGCCGTCAACATACCAACAAGTTTATAATGTACCCGGAAACTTAGCAATCATTGTTAAAATGTACACTAAGTAACCTTTTTCTATTACATTATATATTCTTTAGTCCCTGGGCATTAATAATTCTGTTACATTAACTGTTGGGAATCAGATCATAATAACATTGAAGGCTGTCAAGTCCTCTTATCTACTGGGCCAATCTGCTGACACCAGGAAAACCTTATTGTTAGCTAGATGCTGCATTATTGAGGGGCAAATTTGTAGGAATACATGTATATATTGTTGACATTGGTAGGTGCACTGGGGAAAATATGTGCATTATACCGGCCTCGGCCAGTCTGTTTGTAAAGGAGCCCTGTGAACATGCCTCAATGTACCTAGAAGTCGAATTTGAGTGTTATGGTAAGCCATGCATTGAGACATTAAGCTAGTTTTGATACGCAATGCATGTTTTGCCTTATTTCATTTTGTTACCATGGAAACAGTTTTTGAGAATACCTTTGTTCTTTGATGCAAAATTACCTCAGGCTGAGAATAAATGTAAGATTTATTAATTTTTTCCCTATTCTTTTGCTCCTTACTAAAATTTTTGTAGAAATATGAATTTATAAATTTTGCAAAAGTGTGATCTGAAATATAAGCACAAAGTGTGTGATCTAAAACGTCAGCATTTGTGAAATTAACATATGTGACTTGTCTGAACACCAGTTCAATATGGAAATTTCAGTAAGTGTGTGTTTCCATGGTGACCAATGAGTTAGCGTAGCCGTTCTGTTGTTCCTAATTAACAGTGCCATTGTCGGTACACTGTATTAAACCATATGCCAGAAACATGTTTGTCCACATATAATCAAGAATAGCATGTTATTGAAGACTTATTTTTGCAAATTTTCTGTTCCTCATGATTTGCCTGATATACTACAGGTTTTCACAAGGTTGCAAACGACTTAAATCATATAGTGCAGTTCTATATAAGGGCGTTCTAGGTAAAAACATGTATCACGGAACTGATCAATAAATATGTAGTGTATCCCTGGTTTGATATATATATATGGTAAAAGTTTGAATTTGGCCAGACGTTTTACATCAGAAATTGTGTGTCTGCCAATGGCATGGGAGTTAACTTGAGAATAACTGGTATGTGTAGAGGAATTTGGCACCCTCAAAAACCACTTATCATCCAAACATCGGAGACAATTCTATTATTCTCTGATGAATGATTTATTTTTTGCTTATGTTCTAGATTTACTTCTGTTTAAAATAAATATATTGGTCGAAAAAGTCATGATGCAAACTCTTTATGAAATCTCTGTAATATATTATTATACACGTATATTTATATATGTATATATATTTGTGTGTATAATTATATATTTTACCGAAACTTAACTGTTTTAGTAAGACATCAAGTGAGGAAGAGTGTCTCATAAAACCCTGCCTAGTAGACAGCACCTATGTAAAAGGTGCGGAGAGAAGGGAAATAACCCTACACCCACATACAACCTTTTTAGATGATTTAATTATCATATGTATCTAACTTTTTCATTGGTCTAACTGCATGCCGCCCCGTTTCTGATTGGCTTGTTTGTAGGTGTGATGGCCGACGTCTTTGCAATATAACGGTGAACAACAATGTGTTTGGTGACCCCTGTGTTAACACGAGCAAATACTTGGAGGCTCACTACTACTGTGTGAGAACAGGTAACAATCCTCTTCCTCCTTACCACCCTCATTCCTTCTTCTCCCTCCCTTCCAAACAGGTCACACTCCGTTTCCTCTATACGACTCTTATTCATTGATCCAGCAGCCTGTTGTTCAAATACAGATTCAGAACTTAAACATCAAGTCTACACATATTTTTTTCATAGAACATATATTTTAAAAATATTGAAAGAAATTGTTAAATCTGTATGTTTAAGGAAATACAAAAAACAATGGTTGTGAATTGAAAGCAATAAATTTTGAAAATTTGGTATGATTTACAAGTAGTAAAACTAAAAGTTGCTTTGAAGAACAGGATCAAGGACAATCACCTATGCATCTTCCAGTTTTAGACCTGAAAAAAAAAAAAATTGACATCTTCCCTGTTTGAAATAAATTTTCATTTAGCTGTTACTAGTAAGTAGCACCCTCCCCCTGTTTGTAGCCATTTTTGATTTGGCCATTCCATAAAATTTGCATCCTCCCTAGAGTTTTAGTGATTTATAAGACTTACCCTTATTGATTTGCCATTTGGAGTTTCTGGGGACAGATGTAAGATACCTAGGTCAGCATGGCATGTGTCCCAGCATGCTTTCTGTAGACTTGGGAATATTACAATATGCATCATTCAAACTTTATGGCAGCAAGAAATCCGACTGCTGTGTTGAAGGAAGCAATGAACAGCAGAATTAATGGAAATATTTTCTACTCCATTAAATAGAATGTCATATTTCAGAATGAAAAAAAATATCACAAAGCAAACTTGTCAATGTTTCATCAGCTTTTACAATTAACTTGTGGAATCTATAAGATAACACTTGTACTTTTTTAAGATAATAGATAGATAATAGTACTGGTAAGAGTGCAATTCTATAAAACAATCAGGAACAAACGAGTGAAAAATTGAATTTACAAATGTTCATTAGAACCTACAAGAAGATTTTATGATGTTGCTCTCAACATCGACACATGCTAAGCCGAGAACACCCAAACAGTGATGTACTCTAAAATAATCGAAAAATTTCCTCCGATCTTTTTATGTTCAATTCAAAAAGTCTGACTTCAAATTACAACAGAATCGGAACCTTTTTATGTATAGAACTTTAGTGTGTAGATTAGTTAATTGGTTCTAACTAACCGCATTTGTTGGCATTACTGTCAGTGTTTTATTCAGTTTTGGATGACCAGTATGTGTGTGTATGCCCAGTCAATTAATACATCTAATATGTTGTCTGCTTGCCAGCATGCCAATCCGTTATTTTCAGGTCTGCCCAATTTTTCTTTGTTCATGGAATAAATATTCCATTTAGTGAAAATAATCTGGAGAACTTGTCTTCATTACTCTGTAGGTATATGTGTGTCGGTAGTAATGTAGTGGGTTTGATGTCAGCTCTGTGTAACACTAGGCCCTATCCAACATTGATTTTCCATTTAAGGGCTCGAAATACAATTCAGGATGTCTACCGGGGGGATTTATTTAGACCCTCTCCCCTATGTTTCTTCGGTTAACTGCCCTCTTCATTTTCCACACCGAGATGATTTGCCCTAAAGATGTACGAGAATGAGGTGGTTGATAGTGTTCCTGAATCTCCCATTTCATCTCAAATATCTTTTAGGTTAAACCATCCTGTATCTTGTTATTTAATTATGAAATTGTACGACATTGTTATGCATAGTATGTGCTGATTTATCCTTCTCAAGCAAACTTACAAATGACATTGAGTTTTAAATACAAAATGAAATATTTCTATTTGTAGAAACAGAATAAATAATCTTTGTTGTATAAGATTTCAGATTCCTTTGGTAACTTATTGGTTAGTATGATAGACACAAGATGTATGACTTCCATTACAACGTTGTCGTTTATGAAAGTAAAATAAAAAAAATGTAAAATCTTTATTTTATATATCTTATACATTTCATTTAAAAAAAGTTCAATTCAATTCTCTTTCCAATTTGTTTTACTGATTTGTCCTTATGACTGTATACCATCTTTAGTGTAGAGTTTTGTAAATGAAGACTCAAACATGAGAGGTTTTGTTCAAGGCTAATCAGGAAACTATTCACATATGCAGTTTGCTGGTTTTCATATCTTTTCTGTCATGTTATTTGTAAAATATTATCAGAAGCTAAAAATTTGAATTTTGTTGATCTATTACAATTAATTTGCAATTCACAAATTTTAGTTGTGACCTTGAACTTTGACCTTCTGTGTTGTAACGCTGACCCTGTGTAGGTGTGTCCTGTAGAGGTTGTAAGGATGGAGGCTGTAGTGACTATGGTGGTGGTGGTGTTGTTGTTTTTGTATGATTTTTATTTTTTTCTGTTTTGATTACCAGGTCCACCCACTACCAGCAGTACATCCACAATCCCTACCATAGGTAACAACATTGCTCTAGCAATTCAACTTTTTTGTTTTACTAAAATTGTACGATTCACTCGGATGTGTACATGTAAATGAACTGATTGTATTAGATTACCAAAAATATACCTGACAGGAAACTCTTGACTCCGAGAATTAGAGATACTGTTTTGTCGCTAAAAATCAGAGATTGTTTTTTAAACCTGAAAATTAGAGATTTATTCTTGTATAGAACCAAGTCTTGTTTTAATCATGTTACATTTTGATTTTCAGCCACCACCACGCCGAAACCAACTACCCCAACTCCCAAACCTTCCACAAAGGAACCCCCTCCACCCTCAAGGACGACTTCTCCTTTGAGGGTGACAACACGTCCTACCCCCAGGCCCCCCATTACACCTGTTCCCACATTGGCCCCTACCCCTACCCCCAACACAGATGATGAAGATAATCTGCCTAAACTGAGGACCTGTGAGGGCAGACATCGGGAGGGTGTATGGTGGCCGCTCATTGAGGAGGGAGAGTTTTTTGAACGACCCTGTCCAGAGGGGAGAATAGGTAGGTTACCATATACACTACTTTGAACAAGGGGCATTCATTGGCCCCTGCTGTATTTTTATGGTAACCATAATGAGTATTGACTAAGTAACAACATTTTTACTCATTTAATGATCATCATACCACTGGCAAAAAAATTGTATACTATAAATTGGAAACATTATACTGGCATGAAATTAGATTTAATAGGTCAATTCTGAAATGAAACCCATTCCTTGTGGAACTTTTCATAAATAAAATGTAGAAAATGCAACAGCTAGAGCCATATAGAGATTCCAACACCTGACCTCCGTTTACAATACAGTGGCTGTAACCAACTTGCCTATCTGATTAGCTCCATCCTGCATCAGTTATATCCAGAAAGAAATTAAAGGTTGCTGTAAACTACAACGGAATTTCAAGTGTTTTGCCTGCAGTGTTAAATGAGTTGGACAGGGATGCTTCAGGACAGAAAACTTGAAATTAAAAAACAGATCTACTGAAAACATGATATTTTCACTGGATTATAAGTTTAAAGTTTGAAATGAGGAGAAAAGCATGTGGAAGCATACAGATTAAGCCTGAGTAACTGTAAACTTCCACATTCACGGTGTAGTGTTATGTTTGCTTAATAGTAGGAAAAGGGTATTGCCATAAAGACTAAACTTGTACAGCATAGCCAACTTAACTCATTCACCCCTGAAATTTCATAATGAACTATTCCAATCATTGAATCGGAAGAGTTCAAATGTGTCTTCAGGGGTATATGAGTTAAAGGGTACAGTAGATTGATTTGGTTTAGTTAGTTTCTAAGGACTTGCCTAACTTAGTGCGTTTCTAATGTATAATCTGATCATTTCATCGTTTTTCTGAAACATTATGTTTACAAAGCATCTTTCCCTTATTTAAGACTGTCCTTGAACCATCCTAGATCTTCAAGATTTAGTTTTGGGATGGTGTCTTTGGTTGCAATAAAGCAGTACATTTCCTGTACAGCAGATGGTGGGGAATTGGAGACTTCCTATTATCATGTAAGAACGAGGTGTCTCTTTGCCTTTGCAGGTATGATGTCTTGGCAGTGTGGGAAAGGAGAGTGGATTGGAGAACCTGATCAGTCGAACTGTGTGTCCTCATGGGTGAAGAATGTAGAAGATATGGTAAGTGTGTGGAACCTCGTCCCCTTTGACCCCTCTATCTCTCCTTATCTCTCTCAAGTTTCACTGCTATTTCCAATGGTTTCTCATATGTCAAGTTCATAAAATATGGTTTTGTATTTGCTGCAATGTTTAGAGATAAAAATTGATGTTTTAATGATATTTTATTATATTGCATTGTCACAATGTTTTAAGGATGTATCATGTTATCTATGAAGAATTTCAATCATCAATGGATAATCTAATTCTCCTAAAAATTTGCTATAAATTACAGTGTTGTAATGGAATGGTTAACATTTTCATTCACAACTGTTGTACTGGTGATCTTTGACATATAACACTAAACAGACTGCCAGTTAACTTTGGAGAACCTTTGACCTTTGTCCTAAAGATCTTAGTTCATGGGAGAAAGTTTGACCTTCAACTATAACCTAAACTTTGACCTAGATTCATATATAAAAACTTCATCTTTGCCCCTTTTGTCCACATTGTCTGTTCACCCTTGACCTTGACCATGTAATACCTTTGACCTCTAACCCAGTGCTAGTTATATCATATCCTTGTTTTGATTAGTTAGTTCTGGTCACATGACCCTGACACTGACCTCTGGTGTTGTAGATGACACAAAACAGTGATGCAGAAGAGACAGCAGAAAAAATGCTGCAGATGACAAATCGTGGCAAGGCGATATGGGTCGGAGATCTGAAGAAAACTGCCAATACTCTCCTCCCTAACCTCATCAAACTGGCAAAGCGACAGACAGTTCAGCACTCCAAAAAACGCAAGAAAGAGACCATGAGGAGACTTACAAAGGTAAGTGAAAGAGTGACATTTCGACAAATATTTAAACTATGATTTTAATTCCCGATGTCACCCAAGTATATACAGAAACAAATTGACAGGTAGACAATAATAAAATGATCTATGTTTAATTACGATTTTCATTGATTTTGTAGAATATCGTGAGAACAGGAAGTAACCTTTTGTCACAAGAGCATAGTAGTTCTTGGGAGAAGCTGACCGCTGTTGACCGGTCAGAAGTTGCCACTTCCTTGGCGATTGGTATGGAGGAAACGGGCTTTGAGATAGCCAGCACACTGTATGTGGATGAGTCAATCATGCAAGCAGGCGAAAACATTTGTAAGTTGATGTGATTCCAAAAAGAGAAAAACAAATTTTACAAGTTATTTAAGAGGAAATCTTAGTATATTTTATGTGTTCAGAAAATCAGAATGAAAGTATAAAAGATGCTCAACATCACAAGAACAGTTTGGTTATCTTAACTTGTGTCTACATGTTTCATCCTGCTATGCGGGCTGTCTCAAGAACAAATTAACAATGTGGCCGAGATCTTATGGAAAATATCGCAGTGAAATTAATTATTATATTGTAGTAGATGGACATTGGATATTATATTGTGACAACATATATAAGAACAGTATATGCAATCAGATTAAGTAAAAAGGAGGTATTAATTCAATCTGTCGTTATTTCAGTGATGGAAGTCACTGCTGTTGACGTCACTAAGAAGTCCATGAAGTTTCCATCGAGGAGTGCAGGAGGCGTGTGGGCAAAGGACGCTGACCAAGTCACTTTCCCTATTGAGAGCTTCCAAAACGCCCATCAGGATGGTCAGTCATCAAAATCAAAAGATTACTGTAAAGTAGAAATGTTGGCCTGCTTTTTATTTTTGCCTTATCATTAAAGAAAATAATGTATTCAATATAAGGTTGGACATTTTGTAAATTATTAGGATAGCTAGGTACCGTTTGCAGTTAGTAAGATACCTTGGTACAATTGTTTTTTAATTTGCAATGTTAAAGAGGTATTTTGAATGTTATATCTGTCATGATAGATATGTTTAAAGCTGTCGAACATTAATTTTGGTGAGAATAGTATTTTTACGGTGTATTTGTCCTGTACTTCAGGTGTGGTGAGAATTGTATTTGTGGTGTACCAACATCTGAACGAATGGATGGTTAGTGATTCCTCCTCCAAGGACACACAGACAGACACCAAGGGTTACAGGTCCAGACGGGCCGACACGGATGTCCAGTCTGTTACTGAGGCACCCAACAGGGCAGGAACTATCAACTCCAAGATTTTCTCTGCCTCTGTTAACAATTCTCGAAAACCGACACCTTTGAAAGAGCCAATCATATTTACCTTGAGACACATAGAGGTACAGTTTAATTTACCTGTTATTGATACTCAGAACCTTGTGTTTACCCAGAAAGTTTCAATATGGCACACAATGTAATAGAAATATACAATTAACAAATGAACATTGGTATCTCTTGTAAGACTTTTTATTTTGGCATCCCTGCTTATTGTTTATTGATCTGTTTAAAGTGAAAACCATAAAGAAATATTTTGATTTTATGTATACTGTATTTTAATAACAAGTAATACATATTGTTTTTGCAGTCTCAATCTGGGTACGACCCTGTGTGTAGTTACTGGGACATCTACAGCAAGTAAGTATATCTTGTTTTTATTTTTCCTTATTTTTTTGTACCCTAGTTAAGCATGAAAAGATCGCTTTAATAATTATTGTAAAGCAGAGACATTGTGGTGCGATTTTGTGTAGATAACAATCCTTTGGCTTAGAAGTCCTATTCCATATTGCCTTGCATTAGCTTTGTTACAATCAGTTGAGCTTTTCAGAAGAAATTTGAAAACAATTCTGAATCAATGTAGTCTTCAGTGTACTTACTTCCTGATTAAGGTTAAGATTGACTTAAATTTAATAGGAGAATTGTTTTTCTGCAATTGGGGTTTTGCCTCATTTGCCTTCCATATTAATGACATTTTTTTATGACACCGAATATCAGCATATCTCATACCATATTTAAATCTGGCACTGCTCAGTGTTCTTGCATACTGATCAAGAAAAGGATTTTGAATTAGTTCTTTATTAAAATAAGTCTCACCTGTTAAAATCCTGTTTTTGTCCTTCAGTGAGCCAGCCCACTGGTCAAGATCAGGATGTCAGTTGGTGACCAGCAACGATACCCACACCACCTGTCAGTGTAATCATCTCACTAACTTTGCTGTCCTAATGGACGTCAGTGGAACTGAGGTAACTCTCACGACACAATTCTTCAAAACAAATATAGACTAAATCTAAACCAGGCAGGTAAACAGATTTAGAATAATCAACATTTTCATGCAACCTTGAAATGTAAAAAAGCGCCCTTTTGACTCCAGTGCGTAAGTCTGTGACGTCATGTACTTGTCCTAGGCATGAAGTCGCAATTGAAACAATTGAAACTTACAACCAATCACAGGGCTGATAGGTCATATTACATGGGTCAATATGCAAAAAAAAGCATGGCTATATTCACTGGATAACACAGTACATTATGTGATAAAATGATTTCCTAGAAACCTGGTTGGAAATGTTATCTGATAACAATGCCGCTTTGAACAATCCGACCCAGATCACAACACTGTAGTGTGTGTAAGTATATAATTAATAAACTCGAAACAGTTTAAATACATATCTGTTCACACTTTTTTTCTGTCCTTCAGGTCTGAATATGACCAAGTTGTATGTTGCATGTGTAGTGATGGTTGACTTGCCTGTTTGCTGTAGATTTACTAAATTGTTTTCTATTATTCTATTATGGCCCTTTCCCGAGGGAACTGTTCTCTTATAGTGTTGTCTGGGGAGGTATAGTGCCCGAGCCGTTAGGCGAGGGCACTATACCTCCCCAGACAACACTATAAGAGAACTGTTCCCGAGGGAAAGGGTCATAATAGATTTAGTACATCACATGACTGTACTAACTGTGACTGCAAATTGTGTCGCCTGCTTCGTTTTCATACATTGCTGAGCCTCTGCAAAGCAATCGGCATTCCCGGTCCCGAATCTCGAAGCCATTTTGGCAGACGACAACAATGAACTGAAAGTAGAATATGTATAGCGCCCCCTAGGAGAAGGGGCGCAACTCTTGGCGTCACGCTACTTTTCCCGCAGTCTCAGTGGTCCAAAAAAAAGGTATAGTGCCCGTCTCCAGGTATAGTTCCCGTCGTCAAGGGCGGATGCTAACTATACCAAATAGAACAAGGGTAGTTATCCAATAGCTATCCTAGTAATTATCATGTGATGTACTAAATTGACTTATTGTTTTTTGTCTCCCCAGTTGTCTATAGAACACCGAGTATCACTACAAGCAATCACATTCATTGGCTGTATCATCTCCATCCTTTGTCTCTTCTTCAGCTTCTTCACATTCTGCTTTTTCAAGTAAGTATTTCCCACCACGAACTAAATTGAAGTCAATTTCATTTTTTTTTTTATCAAAAAGTCATGAACAAACAGCCAATGAAAATTAAATGTTGTGCAATTCTTGGTCATGTATATACATAAATCAGTGATGATGAAAGTAAAAGGATTAAAATGAAAAAAAGTCTTGTTTCCCTTGTGATATACTCTCATTGACAGACAAGTTTTATTACTGTTATCCATAAAGTGTCCTCCTGCTAATTTTTTGCCATTACGTCTTTTAAAATATCTTCATCCTTTGTTGAGTTTGCCATTTTGCTAACGGACATGAATCGTGAAAATAAAATGCATCCTGTCGTATACAATATGAATATCACCTAATCTAAGTTTGTGTATATTACAGACAGCTGCAGTGTGACAGAAATACCATACACAAGAATCTTGTGTTCTCGCTCATGCTGGCTGAACTCCTGTTCCTGGTCGGCATAGGGATGACGCAGAACCATGTAAGTGTTGATGTCACCGCTTAGAGGTCAAAGGTTAACACCTCCGAAATCCATGGTCATAATTTCGCCTCAAATGACATCTCTTAAAAAAACATAAAATGGTGGTTTACTTGTGTGTGCTAGTGCTTACCTTCCTAAAGGTCAATTTAAAAAAAATAAAAATGTCAAATTAGGACATCTTTTTAAGGTGGTCAGGTGGTGCAGTAGATAATGCACTCGCCTTTCACCAAGGCAGCCAGAGTTTGGTTCCCTGATTGGACGTAAAACGTTATGGGATAACCTGCCTGACCACTTAGGTTCAGGTTTCCTCCCACAGTAAGACCCTGTGCGCTAACATTTGGTCAAAAAAGATGGATTACTAAAAGGCTACATTCGCGTATACTGGTTGAAACGGTAATTGTGGCGCAGAAATTTTCCACGATAAACGAACGCACTTGGACCGTTCTATAAGCAGTGCTAAAAATGCACAGTTTCGGAGAATAAAAAACAATGTATCAAGAATATTATGCTCTTCTCTCACGCGTCCACTGAATTACCTAACGTATCTAAAAAACTACATGTGGCTTGACATTGTTTTAGTAAGAAATAACGCAAACTGGCAATAGTCAGCATTTTAGTTTCGGTCAGGTACGTCTGGACCCCTCAATCTACACGTGCCAAATTTTCCTGAGGTCAGCCTCGGTCAAGGTCTGTGCCTGTCGTTTTCTTTACAGGTTCAACCGGTTTAAGCGGTTCAACCGTTTCAACCAGATAGGCGAATGTACCCTAAGTCGAAATATAATTATTGTAAAATAAATAAAATTTATAGTTATATAGCCAAAAATGTTAATTGTTTAATTTGAGCCTTTAAAAGTCACAGATTTTATAATACCACTTTAAGGTTTTGATAAAGCTTTTCTTAAGGTCAAGGTGTTTGAGAAAAATGTAAGAAGTCCATGACAGTGGCCTGTTTTTACTTGTAGATTGTGTGTGCTGTGATCGCGGGGGTTCTTCACTACCTGTTCTTGTGTGCGTTTGGCTGGATGTGCCTGGAGGGAGTACAGCTATACGTAATGCTGATAGAAGTGTTTGAACCGGGTCGTTCTCGCAGCAGGATCTACTATTTATGTGGATATGGTAAAACTATCATTTATCTTCGTACAAACTTCGTTATACAAGTGTTTCTATGGGCCATAGCCCCTATTGTCAAGTTCCCTTTGTCACTTCTACTGATTTCTGTCTTATACTCTGTACAAGAGTTTTCAAAGATTGGTTTCTTTGTAGTTGTTTTGAGACATTTTTCTGGTTGATTTGATTTAAAATGTGTTGAGTTTGTATTGCCTTTTATTAAATGTAAAAATTCTGGTAGATTAATTTTTTTCTGTAATCTCTTTGCGAAACCTGGAAAGGAAGGGAGATAAATCTTATAACTTAGTATTCTCTTCATTCTTTTAGGAAATTGGATCAGCACTGATGGAAAGATTTGATTAAATTAAATGTATCAGTTCTCTTCAATACACAAGACATCCTTGAGTGTCACATTAGTAGATCGATATGGATACAATACACAGCCTCTGTAACTCGGGGGGGAACTTCTTTCTTCACAAAATTAAATTTTCATGTGCTTGAAGCCCTGCTGATTGATATCTATCGGAATTTTTTCCATTTCTTCTCTGATCTAGAATATTGATTTTTCCAAAAATAACTATTTTCTTATCTTGTTCCATTGCACAAGGCCAGTGCCAAGTTTTTTAGGAGCTGTTTTATAATAATGGTAAAAAATGTTCATTTATCTTTCAAGAACTTGAAAAAAATTGTAAAAGGACTGGAAAATATTTTCAAATTATTCTCTTAATGAAAAAAGAGTAAATTGATTATTTGAAATATGTTTTAAAATATTGAATATCAGACTAATATTGCTATCCCCTGATTTCTCTGCGACAGGAATACCAGCTATAGTGGTGGGAGTGGCGGCCGGGATCCAGCCGTCAGGATATGGCACAGACACACAGTGAGTATACTGATACAAATTTCATTACACGATGGTGAACTCAGCTGTTGTTGCTGAATCACACTCTGATTGGTGTGTAAAATTTGTTAGAAAATGAGCGGGCTTATTCCTGAGCATAGGACAAATTACTGTAACATTTGTACAATATAGGTCTTGATATGCAGTTTAAATGTTAAGAAAATAGATATAGCCACTTAATTAAATGTTGAAATAGAACTTTTAAATTTTGTTTGTTTATTTGTTCCGTGTGTTTTACAAGATATATATTTTTATTTTTTAATCAAAATTTGTCTTTTATTTTAAAGTTGCTGGCTAAGGACAGACAATGGCTTCATCTGGAGTTTTGTGGGCCCAGTAGCTGCTGTCATCACAGTAAGTTTATATGGATTGTGGGCCCAGTAGCTGCTGTTATCACCGTAAGTTTATATGGATTGACCATTCAGATACATACCCAGCTAGTTGGAGCTGACTTAACAGTGGCTAAGTTGATACAGAATTAGTTTGGAACAGAAAATCTTCATTGAGTTTTCAGATAGGATGTCATCACCTCATATCCATGTCCACAAATGGGACAGTGTGTGGCATGTATTTGTTAATTAGGTGGGTTACCTGTGATTTGATCTCTGACCTACTTTTTGTGAGAAAAAAAATGTCAAGGTCATTACTCGATAGCATATCAAAATCAGTGTTACATTTAATTTGACTTCCCCTTTACACATTATAAAGTTGCATTCAAAGTAAAGGATGATTCTACATGAAATGGTATTGTAGAGGTGTTCCTACAGAAGCAATTTCTCAGTGATTTTGGGAAAAAAATGGACACACTGGCCTGATTTTGGTACCTGAATCTTGTCTTCCCTATATGTGTCATACCAAGTTTGATAGGAGAAATATTCTGACAAGTTTTCCTTTCTTTGGGGTCAAAGGTCAAAATAAAGATCAAAGTGACCTACTTTGGAACAAGACAATATATCTGTCTTATAATTATATAGTAAGCACTTTGTGTACATTAGGAATGCTTTCAAAGTTGGACCAAAAGCTCCAAGATAGGTTTCAGCTAAAAAATTATATGTCAAGTCAATAAAGTGATCCAAATTGCTGTACATTATGTTTCCTTGGCGTATATAGATACATGTTTCCTTGGCGTATATAGATACATGTTTCCTTGGCGTATATAGATACATGTTTCCTTGGCGTATATAGATACATGTTTCCTTGGCGTATATAGATACATGTTTCCTTGGCGTATATAGATACATGTTTCCTTGGCGTATATAGATACATGTTTCCTTGGCGTATATAGATACATGTTTCCTTGGCGTATATAGATACATGTTTCCTTGGCGTATATAGATACATGTTTCCTTGGCGTATATAGATACATGTTTCCTTGGCGTATATAGATACATGTTTCCTTGGCGTATATAGATACATGTTTCCTTGGCGTATATAGATACATGTTTCCTTGGCGTATATAGATACATGTTTCCTTGGCGTATATAGATACATGTTTCCTTGGCGTATATAGATACATGTTTCCTTGGCGTATATAGATACATGTTTCCTTGGCGTATATAGATACATGTTTCCTTGGCGTATATAGATACATGTTTCCTTGGCGTATATAGATACATGTTTCCTTGGCGTATATAGATACATGTTTCCTTGGCGTATATAGATACATGTTTCCTTGGCGTATATAGATACATGTTTCCTGTTTCAGCTGAACATCATCATGCTAAGCATAGCTGTGTACATGATGTGTAAACATGCGAATACTCTCGCTTCTACCCTTCGTACCAAGGAAAAGTCACGCCTACAGAAAATAAGGTACAGTCGCCATAAACTTACTGAAATCAGAAAAAAACATATGGCTTATCAGTTAAAAACAGTATTAGAATTAAGAGAATGAAACTGAATAAAGAAACAAGAATATTTAATGTTTCTATACTCCTATCAACAAACTTGTGTTACACAGTTACAGAACATCCTGTAGTTATAGTCCTTGTCACCAGACTAGTGGAGTAAACTATTTTATCTAATCCCTTTATATTATCCTGCATCTTCCTTTATCCATAGAATGTAAAGAACAAACACATTAGTCCGAAAGCATGGTGGTCATCATACACAAGAGTATCACATAACATACATCCACTTGGATGAGTTGAAGATTAAAAAAAATAACTGTTTCATTCCAAGATTGGAATTGTGGTACACTATTGTATATCATAACTGTGTGATGGATGTAGAGATCTGTCTGGGGGAGTCTGGGAAATGTTTGGTTATCTAACTGATACGCTGCAATTACCTCAAGACTGTGAAATATTTGGTTATCTAATTGATACGCTGCAATTACTTCAAGACTGGGAAATGTTTGGTTATCTAATTGATATGCTGCAATTACCTCAAGACTGGGAAATGTTTGGTTAGCTAATTGATATGCTGCAATTACCTCAAGACTGGGAAATGTTTGGATATCTAACTGATACACTGCAATTACCTCAAGACTGGGAAATATTTGGTTATCTAATTGATACGCTGCAATTACCTCAAGACTGGGAAATGTTGGGTTATCTAATTGATACGCTGCAATTACCTCAAGACTGGAAAATGTTTGGTTATCTAATTGATACACTGCAATTACCTTCAAGACTGGGAAATATTTGGTCATCTAATTGATATGCTGCAATTACTTCAAGACTGGGAAATGTTTGGTTATCTAATTGAAATGCTGCAATTACCTCAAGACTGGTAAATGTTGGGTTATCTAATTGATACGCTGCAATTACCTCAAGACTGGGGAATGTTGGGTTATCTAATTGATATGCTGCAATTACCTCAACACTGGGAAATGTTGGGTTATCTAATTGATATGCTGCAATTACCTCAAGACTGGGAAATATTTGGTTATCTAATTGATACGCTGCAATTACCTCAAGACTGGGAAATGTTTGGTTATCTAATTGAAATGCTGCAATTACCTCCAGACTGGTAAATGTTGGATTATCTAATTGATACGCTGCAATTACCTCAAGACTGGGAAAATGTTTGGTTACCTAATTGATACACTGCAATTACCTTCAAGACTGGGAAATGTTTGGTTATCTAATTGATATGCTGCAATTACTTCAAGACTGGGAAATGTTTGGTTATCTAATTGATACACTGCAATTACCTTCAAGACTGGGAAATATTTGGTCATCTAATTGATATGCTGCAATTACTTCAAGACTGGGAAATGTTTGGTTATCTAATTGATACGCTGCAATTACCTCAAGACTGGAAAATGTTTGGTTATCTAATTGATACACTGCAATTACCTTCAAGACTGGGAAATGTTTGGTTATCTAATTGATACACTGCAATTACTTTCAAGACTGGGAAATATTTGGTTATCTAATTGATACACTGCAATTACCTTCAAGACTGGGAAATATTGGTTATCTAATTGATACGCTGCAATTACCTCAATTGTCATCAGTGATTATTGGTTGATAAAGATAATTACTTAGTGTTTGTTAGTGTATAAGGATACTTTACCAGGTGTGTATCACCTTCAGTGGTTGATAAAGATAATTACTTAGTGTTTGTTAGAGTATAAGGATACTTTACCAGGTGTGTATCGCCTTCGGTATCAGTATTGACAAAAATAAGTGATTATCTAAAATGGTAGAATACAGCAAACCTGTCAAAACCAAACAGTGTAGTTCAGTTTATAGTTGAAGTTCTGGTTTATACAGGTTTCCTATTTATGCAGTGTTCGGTATAGACAGGTTAAACTGTGTTGGAGTGTCCATGTTTTATATTTCTGTTTATACTGTATATATCATAGCTTTTAACTGATAGAATTGAATGGAACCTCTTCAGTCAAGGCATTTCTTGAAACTGTTCAGAATATCAGTTTCTAAATTTTGGAAATAAGTTCAGACTTCACAAAGTTATAGCTTAAATTGTTTTATAATAATACAGTAGACTATTTTCATTTGAGGCATTTTTTGTTCCTGTTTCATAAGAGAATGAGAATTTAACCAATTCTCCTGATTACAAACCAACCGGGACATCAGGTTTCTGGATTTGTGTGCCTAGATTGAGGAGGTTCTACGTATATACTTACTATCCTGTGTGTAACAAACATGTTACTGTGTCTTTGGTATATTAATCTTGTTTTCACACTGCGCATGCTACTACTAACAGCCAGGATCCGAGCTCTTCGGGAAGTGGCAACTCCATGCTGCGGGACTCGCAAGTCAAGATCAAGTCTGAAGTACCGTAAGGATCAGTCAATTAGACTCTTTTAATCCAAGATAACAAATCCATTTAACATGAGAAATATTAAAAGTGTAATTGGATATTATCTCATGGTGTGTTAATTTGGAAACGGGTGTCAATTTACCTTTGTTACGCAGGGATGGTGGGGCTTGGTGTGCATGCTACTTAATATTCTAATAGGCATGTCCTTTCAGTAACCATGACTACTCTTTGGAAACTAAATTCAAAAGACAAACTTAAATATATCTTTAACATGAATATTCACCTTAATTTAAAAACCCATGTCTCTGACAAAGTGAAGTAGTTTTTAATTCTTAAATTATAGGAATTACTTTGTTATCAGAAAAATCTGTAAATCTCACTATTTGAAGACAACTAGGTCAAAATTTATATTCAGAACTTTGTCATACAGAATTTTTCCAATGATTTTTATCTCTTTACCAGAATTTTATCTCTTTACCAGAATACTTTTGTCCTAAACGATTAAAGAAGACCTGGACATTTTTTCTGTATAATTAATAATAATTATGATACTATATGAGGTTCTTATATACCGCTTTATCACAACCTAGTTTGTAGGTCATAGTTCGTAGATATGGGCATTTGCAACCAGCCAATATCTTTCTCACCTCCCTGGGGAGCATACAGTCGGTGCTGCCATTTCAGCACTCACCAATTTTAGCACTGCCCAACCACCTACTCATTTACAGCTGAGTAGACTGGAACAAGTCGGGTAAAGTGTTTTGTTAAAAAATACAACACAGTGCCGTGACGTGACTCGAATCTGCCACCCTTCGTTCACCAGCCCGGCATCCTACCACTAGATTATAGTGCCTCCTATATAAATATTAAGGTCCCACTAAAATATTTGGGCTAACATATTTTCAGGTAGATTTCGATGATATGGATTGTCCTCTTGCATAGTATCAATAGATTACTTGAATCATGGTTAAATTATAATAAACCAATTTTAATCATTTCTATATGCATGCATTATAAAACATGTATTCAGTATAATATGGTATAGGTGCATGTTATATATTCTTAATATAATTTAATAATTACTTGTATGTCCCCCTCACATACTACTGGAGGAGAGTATAGGTTTGTGGTCCATCGTTCATCCATGTGTAAGTGTCGCTTAAATCAGGTCTAGGGTGACCCACTATAAGAGTTATGCCCCTTTGTTTGTTATATCGAAGTCTAGCCAGAACATAACTTTATTGCTATTTCACCTACATTCACAAAACTATAGCTTTACTATAAATCTTGAGACAGCCACTAGAATGTTGGGTACTGGAAATGGGTATTGTATGCCAAACTATATTGTGAGTTATGATCCTCATTTTCCATTTTTACTCCCCAAAGTTTACGTGGAGGATAACTTTCTTGCAACAATGTATTTCATTTACCTTCACCAAACTGATTATATTATACTTTGTCTATCAGAAGAGTGCCGCATACTAAAATGTTCTTAATTGTAAGTCTAAATAATAACAATGCTGTAATGGCTACATTTGACTGGTGGAGGGTCGTGCATTACTTAACAATGTTATTCAGGAAAGGCATAATTTATCAATGCATATCAAATACAATAATCTTACTAAAACTAAAATCAAAGACCTGTACTCACTAAAGAGAAATCATCTACCATGAATTTCTCTTATACAGAAAATAAGTCCAAGTCTGGTCAGGTTCTGGATACATCTGAAAGAATCATTGTATCCAGTTATAATAAAGAGCCATGATGTGCAAATATAAAATGCATATATTGTAGTATCATAAACAAAAAGATATAAAAAATACAGTATATGATATACTTGCATAAAAAATAATTGCTCACAATCATAATGCAGAGTTTTCTATTATAAACTGTTGCAATACATTTGTTGTAAAACAAATTCCAAAATATAAAAGCAAAACAATAATTCCATACAACCATGTATGACCTTCTATTTGATGACATTGCTTGATAGTTGTGTTTTGTGGTAACAGGGCGTGGCTGAAGGGCGCAGCAGTCCTGGTGGTTTTACTAGGACTTACTTGGGTGTTTGGAATCCTTTACATCAACAAAGAGACGGTCGTCATGGCGTACGTGTTCACCGTGCTAAACAGTCTCCAAGGACTCTTCATCTTCATCTTTCACTGTCTCCTTAATGAGAAGGTAAGGATAGTTGGCTGTTGTGGACGTTTTAAGTTTACGTTGATGGGGAAAAATTCTTTCGCTCTCCTGAGTGACAAAATTGATGACCAGCAGTCACTTTATAGCTATGGTAGGGTTACAGATCAATGCCACTCTTGTATTACATCATGCAAGTTTGTCATGGTGATAAAGTATAAGTCAGTGGTTGGGCTGGTGCTCATGCTCAAACAGAAAATGTTTGATATAATATTTTTCAGTTTCAATTATAGCAAAATGATGATTATAGTAGTTGCCATTTTTAGTGAATGAGGTGTTGAAATTCAAGGTCATACAAGAATTTGTGATTAACATGCTTACTTTGTATTGTCTTTACTCTGTTTCTAGGTGAAGAAGGAGTACAAGAAGCTGGCCTACCGCTCAACATGGCTGCCAAGCTGTTTGAGGGACATGTGTATTGGCTACTCTAGCTCCAGCTCCCACAACACCTCGTCCTCCAGTGGAGGGGTAGGTACACCTCCATGTTTTGTCGTTACCTGCCTGTTTTAACGTCCCTATGCTATCTTTTTCTGTTACCAATACATGTTAATAGTCTTAAAATGATCTTATTATTTTTTCCTGTATTATGTCTTTGTTACCTGTACATATTACCTATATAACATATAGCTCAACTGCACCAAGTTCCTTTCTAATCTTTTTGTGGCAATTAATTGCAAACCATGCAAAGTACTTGGTACCTATATATCTCAAATGAGTTCATGTTTCAGGATTGTGGACCCAAAGTAAAAATTACTGTCACTTTAAACTTAAAGTCTTCTGGCTTTGTCTTTCTCAAATGCTGTTGATTTGGATTTAACTTTAAACACTCATACATGTTATTCAGAGATCACCTGTGGGAAGTATAAGTAAAATAGTCTCCATTTACAGGTGGTCTCTTAAACTGCAAGTCTTTTATTTGAGCAGGTTTGACTAAACAAGTATTTGGATTACAAATGCCACAAACAAATTTGCTATTCTGGTTTTTGGTCCTAGACCCAAAGTTGATTGAAGGAAAGTGGGTGGCTGACAGGGGCATTCCTGTCTCAAAATCATTGTCTTCTTTAATTAGTCTACAAGATTTATCTAAATTACATTATTTACTATGGATAAAAGCAGGTTATCTTAAATTTGTTCTCTAATAATCTCCCTTCCCCAAAAAATAACCCCATCTTTTTTCTTCTAATTATACTCTCTCTGATAGTCAAATATAAAACAAATATTTTCCCTTCTGTTTTATAGCACCTGCTTAAGTTTTGGAGTGGAAGAAGACGAAGGAAGTCTTCGAATTCAACGCTGACAACAAGAGGTGAGTTACTGAAAGTTTTATAATTGATACCATTCTGTAACCTTGTTTAAGTGTTCATTTCATCATTATACCTATATTTTGCCATATATTTTGAAGAAATATTAAAGTGTTAATACTGAACATTGGTTCATTTAGTAGTTTAATTTTAGTATGTAGCGTCAAAACAAATTGCCTGCATATGTGGAATCCTTTATGATTTAATAGTGTTTGTCAGTTGTGTGATTCCTATAACTTCTCAACTGTAGGCCAAAACAACAAAAGGAAGAGTGACCCTCGCAGTGACCTTGACAGCTACTCAAGTCGAGAACAAACAATCTACACCCATGGCGGCTCTGGTCGCCATAGCAACAAGAAGTCAAATGGCCACTCAAATGGTCACATCCCCCACCACAGAGACATGGATGGCATCGCAGGGGATCTATCTGTGGCTGACTGCTCTGTCATCGACAGTGAATATGTTTCGGAATATTGTCACAACAACCTACAGGTTTCCAGGGAAACCCACCGCTACTCCTCAGCTTCTGAAGAGACTGATCATATGATCAGCGAGGAGCCAATAGAAAAGGATAGACTTTCGGCCTTATCTACAGATTCTGCATTGAAGTGTAACTCCGAGTTTGCTTCATCTGCAGATGGTATTGATGGGGACTATATGGAGCCTAATCACTACTCTGAGCCAAATCACTACACAGAGGTGATGAGTGTCGAGAACCCTTACTCGGAGGTCCTTCCCCTGGACGATGATCCTCACAGGGAGAGCCAGTATGAAGACACGCCACTCATGCAGTCTATGTCTGAGGCGGAGCAGAACTTCATCAATGACATTCTTAGTGGTCAGGCGTCAGATAGCCTGATGAAGAAACATTCCATGGAGGACTTAGTATCAAGTTCTGATCGACTTGATCATAGACTTGACCACAGCACACCCAATGGTAAATACAAACACTCACCTAGTAACAACAACTGCATCAATATCAATGTGGACGGTAACCAGGACCGTCTGTGGGACAGCTAGCCATGGCAACAGCCAATCAAATCATTAATACATCAAACAACAATCGAAGCATAATAAGATTGGCTGCCTGGTGTTGTGTTCCCTGAATTATTAGAGATTAGACCTTAAAAACATAGGTCATCAGACTCGAAATGAAGCAAATTGTGGCTCAAATATTTGTCAACTTTTTCCCATTGGGTCTTCAGGAGCAACATAACCAAGGTTAGGTCATCCAAAACAATTCCACAACTCACTGACTAAGTAACAACAGTGTATTTCCTTACCCAGGGTACGACACAAGCAAGGCCACAAGAACTGTTCAAGGTCATAATTGACCACATGCAGTCAATAAAACATTTGTTCACACCATTTTCGTCGAGACAATGGAGTAGATTTTTTTTACACGTGAATCGGCCTTTGTTGGTGGATTTCAACACAAGATGTAAATGTTTCTGCGTCCCAATCGTCGGTGCAATTATACTAAATGAAATTAGTAAACCATTACTAGAGACTGTTTGCACAAATTTGTTTTTTGTAACCTGGTAGCTGTCACTAAGATTAGTGGAGGATTAGTTGTGAATACAGTGTGATTCCTGTTATAATATTGTCTAGGAATTGAGTGCTGTAACATTACAAGTGCAATTTTTGCCGGCCTGAGACAGGAGTTAAGAGATCTGACAAGTCACTTACAGGCTTACAGTACGGTGCTATAGTTAACTATATCAAATATACCTTACCCATTTTTAACACAGAGTTATAGTTAATGAAATATTTTTGTAGGAAACACTTCCAAAATATGCGTCAATCAATTACACATCATTCACATCAAGGTGTTTATTTTAATGTTTTTTTGCTTCAAAATTTCATTTAAAAACAATTTCTCTATGACTGTTTGTAAAATGTACAAGTAACAAATAAAAATATTATTTGTGAAGACATCCACAGACAATGAAGTTTCCATCAACATGCTGTGTATATCATTTTGTTACACGCATGATAAGCATGTAAACATAATTTAGTATGATCAACATTATATAATATACACCATGTACAATATAAACATGAATGGATGTTGAGTTTAGTTGATCTCTTTAGTAATTTAACAAACCTAGAGTTATGTATGTGGCATTCTTAGTTAACCAGCGGTCCATGAATCACAGTCAATCGCTATAACAACCTGGTACCTAATCACAACAGTAGTGACTATTACTGTAGCAAAATCAAAATGACAATTTCAGGTAGAGTAACAGGGACCAAACCCAAAACATTTTTTTTGCATTCCAAACATCTAAATCAATGTGGAACGGGGTGAGGTCTTAACGTCTACTTCATATTTTATGTCGCCCATTAATTATCACTGTTAATTAACCCTTTCACCCCTTTGTAGTTTAAGTAGACTCTACCATGCATTGATATGGATGAGTCCATTATGGTCTACAGTGGTGAAAGGGTAAATGAGCATTTTAGATAGCGTTTTGAAACATTTAAAAAAAAAATTAAGTACAAATAAGGTCATTGATTGCTTAATGAAGATTGTATTTTCATCTGAATCTCGTCAGATGGTAGTGTGGATGTCGACAGAACCATGCAGTATTCCCTGTAGCTAATGTACAGACCTATATTTTTGTAAGCTATGGTATCTGTATAATCCATCATTGTGCCTTTAAAAGAATACCCTGGCTTGTACCTTGTCTATACCATGCTTTTTCTTGTCTACTCTAGTCTCTCCTGTAATAATGTACATGCATGTTCTTTTTTCTCATCTAAGAATATGTACTTGATTATTTCTTATTTGTACACTGCTAGGATTTTATAAGAAATTAATTTTGATTTGTACAGTGAACAATTTCTGATTTGTACAATAAATTATTACTAGTTTATACAATGCTATAATATTTCTAATTTCTACAATATTTCTTGTTTGTACTACTCTGACAATTTCTAATTTGTAAAATACTGAAATGTGTCTGGTTTGTAGTGTTATGATTGTGAACTATAATCATTAGGGTAAAATATTTTGAAACATTTCAAACAGATTACAAATTATGTCAAACTGTTTATATCTAATTGCAATGGAGTACAATTTTGAAAGGAAGAGTTTTATAAATTTTCACATACCATAGTACTATTCTGAAATGTTTCAAAATGCTTTCTTTATTGAATAAGGCCCTGATTCAACACTATAGAGACATTTGATTTGTGTAATTATTACTTCGATGTGTTCTCTGGTGTCCAATACAGAGCTGTAACTGAGGATTAAGTGGGCAGTCTAGATCTGTGTCCAATGTCTGCCATATCATTGTCATATATGTACAACAGCACTGATTATGATTTTATGTAACTCCCCTCCACTCTTTCTACAGTGTAAACTGTTATACTGTTTCCGTGTGAATTGTCGTATATGTGTAAACCATTTTAATAGATGGACTCTTCCATTTCTGTAGAGAATAATGTTGATGAGAGGAAGCCCACATATATTATAATCTTACAAGAACATTAAGATACTATCATTGTTTTAGTGGGAGAACATTTTAGAGCTAGTGTCAATGTAAACAAATTTTATATTGTTTATAATTATCAAGATAAAAATATTAATTGTTCTGGACCGACATGGTCTTAAAGCATGTTCTTGATTTCATTGTCTACAATATACGCTTTCTCTAATTGTGATGTACTTAAATGACGATATCAGAAACATATCACATTTTTTAAAACCATAGTGACATATGTAATCATTTTAAAACTTTCAATTATAATTTAAATTTATAAGTGTTTTTTGTTTTATTTCTTCTACCTGGGTTGGTTACATCAATATGTGATTAACACCTGAATTCCGATGATTGTAGAAAGACAGACAAAACTGCAATGATCTTTTTACAAATAATTGTAAGTACCTAAAATGCAGTTTGTCTATGGTTTCTGTGAAAAGATTAAAGTCACTTTTGAAAAGCCTGCTCAGCTTTAGGACCAATTGTATGAAATAAATTATCTTGAGTATTTTTTTAATTTAAGATTAACTGCTTGTGTAGGGATTTAAGATTACCAGTGTACTTATTTTACAATGTATTTGAAGATAAAAATTTAGTGGTATATGAAAATGACACATAAAAAGCTTAAAGATTTTGTTTCTATGTAAATTGATAAAGCTAACAAGGCTTAGAGATATTGGGCCTACATATCTGTTTGTTGTGTTGCTTTATAAACAGAACTACATTGTATCATCTTTTTACATTTTTCATCTTTTTTACATTTTCATATTTTCATTGTCATGTGTCATTTGAAAAATTACTGTTTTGAGTATATTATCACTGCTTCACTGTTTTACTGATAATCTTAGCTTTCCTGTTCGTAATTTATTTTATGTACATGGAGATGTTATTTGATATAACACTCGGACCAGGCTTCCAGGCTTTGTTAGAAGAGGAGTATGCTATGTATGTACAGGTGATCTGGGCCATAATGTTATGGCCTTATCACTCTCAATGTTACTGGTGAGCGTTCCAAGCTTGTCTACAGATTTTATCTGCCAAAGGAAATATTAAAAATGTTGTTCTTTTAAATGATGTTTTGTTGTATTTCCTATAAATAACGAATTATCCAGGAGAACATTAATTACAGTTATCAACTTTACACTTTGATTTGCACCATTATTAGTGATTGGATCTTTCATATCTTTCAGAGCAATTTATGTCTACTAGAGGACAATTTTCTCCCAACTCTAAAATTACATAGGCTACATTTGTATATCCCGGTTGAAACCGTACGGTACGTGTGGCGCAGAAATATTCCACGATAAACAAACACACTTGGCCATTCTATAAGCAGAGCTAAAAATGCAGTTTCGGAGAATAAAAAGGATGTATCAAGAATATTATGCCCTTCTTTCACGCGTCCACTGAATTACATAACATATCTTTAAAACTATATGAAGCTTGACATTGTTTTAGAAAGAACACGCAAACTAGCAATAGTCAGCATTTTAGTTTCGGCCAGATAACGTCTGGACCCCTCAATCTACACTTGCCAAATTTTCCTGAGGTTGGCCTCTGTTCAGATCTGTGCCTGTCGTTTTCTTTACAGGTTCAACCGGATAAGTGAATGTGTACATATTCATGGCCTATGTGGAACACCAATGAGCGATAACTCTATCTCGTGTGGCTGCACTTGGTAATCTTCAATTAGGAAACTAAATTCTGACTACAAAATGCGATAAGAGAACCAAATTCAGTTGATTTAAAAAAAATAAGGTCCGTACCATATTGGCTAACATTGTAATGTGACATCATTTCAATGCGATGTGCGACAGAAATGAATCAAAATTTTCATCTGTGGAAAAATATCGACCACCAAAACATGTCTGCAACTGACATTACCCCACTATAATCTTTGTGATACCAAGTCTCTACAAATAATACAGCACATCAATACAGAATCATGTATTTTATTTAGATTTTTTACCAGGTAACTGGAAAATAGCAATTAATAAATATTTCATATAGTCAAAAACAATTGTTGAAATGCCTATTAAACAATTCTGTCATACAAACCTGTGCTTGGAAATTCATTTAGCAAAATGGTACCCAACAAAGGTTTAACCTTCCTTCACTAGAATGGGCCCCTTTTTCAAAATTTCCAAATCTATGTCTGCTTCTCGGGTAGCATAGATGATTTTAAAAACAACTTCAACAATAATAACTTAAACCAGAAGTAACTATACTCTGGTGAGTATTACAACCCTTAAATATAATCATTCTTAATATTTTGCTGTATTCCATATCGTTGACACATTTCACCCTGATAAAACAAGTGTTCTATTACTGTGGACGTGTTGCCTGCCCCAGCTTCTGTGGAATGATGGCTAACTACAACTATCCAATGATGAAGGAATGAAATGTGTTATATTTGCTGATGCAATATCGACCAGATTGCAGTAGCCTCGTGAAATATTGATAAACTTGGCTGAGCATAAAACTTGATTGAAGAACGTGAGTAAAGTATGTTCACCAGGCTAGTTTCATTAAAATCCAATAGAATTTCTTCAAAAGACATAATCTGAAATCAAATCTGTACAAAATTCAAGATGGCCACTGGCTGTCAGATTGAACTTTGGACCCAACTCGAAATAGATCCAAATCAAACTTGAGTGAGTAATACATAAGTTTCATAAATGTCAAATCATTCATTCATGAGCTATTGCAAAGAAACCTTGTGACTTTTAACTAAATCTATGATGGCTGTTGGTGGCCTTGTTGATTTTCAGATTCTGGTCAAATTGTACTTGAGCAAGTAATTGATACTGTAGACATGTGTAGAAATTGTGAAGAATATTAAATCATCCCTTCCTGGATTATCACATGGAAACCATGTAACTTTTCACAAAATCCAAGATATGGTGATACCTATTATTATGTCACCTTTACCTCACAGGTGACACCAAAACAAAACAAAACACTAATACAACCACATTTGAAGGAACTTTGGCATACATATCTGTATGTAAATTATGTATGGATAAAAGCACAGGGATCAAGAAAGTGTATGATACCACAACATCAACAATTTCAATACTCATGTCATTACAACAAACCCACAAGTGGAAATAACAACTTGTTTCTGAAAAGCTCTTTCTTCCGTGTGAAAGCCTTTGGTCAGTTTGCTCATTTAGTGTCCTGACAACTTATTTGGAAAGATCAATAAATACCCAAAATATCAAAAACACATGCATTAATGATTTTCTAATAAAAAGTGTTCATCAACTGACACCAATAAGATGAGGACCTGTGGAATTAGAAAGTTCTAGTTCCTGTGTTAAACCAGCACCATCAGTTTCTTGTAATACATTTTTTGATTGGCTACCACTACTTTGAGAACTTGACTCCGATTGGTCCTTGTCTTGTGACTGTCCTTCACTATCACTAGAAGAGCTCATCATATCTGCCTCTGTACAGAAATAGTCCGAGTCCTCACACACAACATCAGGTTCTACAGACTCGGGGTGGTTGGATGAAAACGCCTCGGTAAAAACGTCTCGGACAACAGATGTCAGGTCCTCCACTTCGTCCTGGCTATTATCCATGTACTCACTTATAGACAGTAGCATCTGTAACAAGAGGTCTGCAGATCAATGCACTGTAATCTGCACCACCTTTTTATTGAAATCATACTTCAACATTGAGGTTTTAATTTTGATTAAAGCTAGCCTTACGAGGAATGATTAATCACATACATGTGATATGGTTCTGATGTTTGCAATAGGAATACAATCATCTAAAAGTAATTTACTTTGTTTTCATAAATAATTTCATGTGCTATAATGCTAGATGCTTGCTACAACTAGAAATGTAGTTCTTAGAAAATATTGTGTAATATACTTTTTTCAGTTTCGTGACAAAATACATAATTATAATGGCAATGGTGGAATAGTTGCCAATAAGATTAAGCATCATGTTCAAAAGTAGAATCTTTATATCTTTTTTTTATCATTGATAAAGATAAGCCAGGTATGATATTTTATAATACTGTACCTTATCTAGACACCTGATTTGTGTAACCACCCTGTAGTCCCCTAGGAGCTCCACCCTGTTGGTATAGCTAGCATACCGCTCAGCCAAATCACTAGCCTCTGCTTTTAGGTCAATAGCGGGCACCGGGTGCACTATCACGTCATAACTAAAGTTGTTGGGGATGTCTGCAAAATTAAATATACACACACATGTATAATGTACATCAGAGGGGAGTTTCCACCTGCAATATCATATTTCTCTAGTAAATATCAAGAAACTGGTGAAAGAAGCAAGACAATTACAAGGGGGAAAAGTTTTAATTACTGTTTATAACCATTCCACCTTTCTCTTCCACCTTTCTTTAGGATGAGTAACTGCTGACCACTAGTAGAATGTCCAACCAATTACTGTACCATGCATTTTACCTGATTTTGTACTGTTGGCACTCCTGACAAAATCAACTGATCATTCACTGTTGGAAGCTATATCATTACAGTAAGACATTATTTATGTACGACAACCAAACTTACTGTACTGGTCTGTCTCACTGCGCTCCTGACCAATAGTTAAACACTGGAACTCGGAGTACAGACTGGGGTTCTGTCTGTTGTAGGGGCTCACAATCACACCAACAAATTTGGAACCACCTTTAGAAAACCATTCCTGGGGGACAAAAAGCATTCTCACATCTAAATCTCAATGGCCCACAATGTTTCTTCAGGAACGCAACTTAAGTTATGAATAGTGTTCAATGATTCTCATTACATATGACTAAGGGGTAATATAGAAATAGTGAACAGTGTATCTCGGGAAAGGTTTGTAAATAGAAATATTCCACAATGTTTCTCCGGAAATATGACTAAGGCCAGAAATGGTCCCTGATTTTCAGGAAATACGTGAAGACATTTATGCCAATGGTAAAATAAAGTATCTAACAATCTTTCTCAGGAAATACAACTTTGCGTCCACGGTGTTTCTCAAGAAGTACGATTTGAAGTCAGAAATAATCAACACTGTTTATATAATACATGTACTTATATATTAAGTTATATAATTTGAGAAACTTCTGTACAGTATATCACATTATTTTCTCAATGTGTTTTCAATGACTTACCCAATGTTTTGGATATTCATAAGATATTTGAATTCACAAATGATTACCCTTGCAAAATAACAATGTCATGTTAAATATAAGTGATTGGAGTTGCTATTTCCACCACCTTACCTGGAACTTAAGTTGAGTTTCTATATCTCTAATGGACGGGTTTGGTGCAAAAGTTGGATGAGAATGATACCATCCCACAACAGAGTAGTTCTGGCAAATCGCCTCACTGGCCAGAGTCTGTGATACTGTAACCAATGGCATTCAGGGTAATAGAAAATCGAAAGCAAATATATTTAAGGTCATTTCACAATTGAAAGAATTTTAATCTATTTAAAATATGCTACATTTATATGATATTTTTAAGGTTTGAAACAAGTCCAGAACAAAAATATGGAATTTGTTTTTACACTGTACCATACTTTTCATGTAGTAATTAGAAAAAGCTAGAAAAGTCAGTATAATCTGCATATAGAATTAAATTTAAAACAAAAACATAACTGTAAATTGAAAGGCATACTAGAAAAAAATAATATAAATTCATCTTTTAAATTTGAAAATTTCATTAAACCTGCTAAAACCAAGTTTTTAATATTTGAGCCTGATATCGATTGTGAACTGACCTGGATCCATCTCACACTGCATTCCAGTACTAATACTGTTACATGGCACTGCCATGGTGATCACCAGTTTACCCTGTTCCTCCATATACTGTCCTCCCAGCATGCCGATTACCTCAGTCTTAGATACGTGGGCATGCATATCCATGGTGATCATTGCTAAGTTGTAAACTTCCACAGAAAAAGGAGGCTAAAACAAATAATCCAAAAGACATGTTCTTATATATATAAAATAGAAATTTATGTAAAAGCATTATTCCAAACTGACCACTAACATTTTAACAACACACCAAGCCATTGATGCACTGCAATATATTATAGCAAGGGGGTTGAATTCACCGAGAGTATAACAAACAATCAAAATGAAACGTGATAGTAAGATACACTATTGATAGTTTGTGCATAAACATACAACTCTTTATAACAGAACATCTGAATTCCAAGGTAGCATTCAGCACATACAGTAACAAGAGGCCCAGAGGGCCTGTATCGCTCACCTGTTTCTTTTGTTACATGCAACTGACATATAGGTAACTTAAACACAAGACATTTTAACATCTCTTAAACGGTTCTGAAGATATTGTTGTATGAAACTTAAAATTTTAATTTTAAAGCTTTTAACCCATATTGACCTTTAAATCCCGATTTGCACTTAAAGTTGACCTTTGACCTCATTACTGTAATGAAGAAAACAATTCACACAGCTGGTCTACATAGCAAACCTAAGTATCATGACTAGTCCAAATGGTTCTTAGGATATTGTTGTTTGAAGTTTTTAACATATTTGACCCATGTGACCTTGAAAGTAGGTCAAGGTAATTTTAATGAGGAAACTCTATAGCACTCCATCCCAGGTGCCTACTGGCTAAATATCATGACCCTGGGCCTAATGGAACTTGAGAAGGAGACTGTTAAAGCTTTTAGTCAAAGTTGACATTTGACCCCAAACTAGCACTTAAGTTGAACTTTGACCTCATAACTGTAATGGAAAAAATATATACACTGCTGGTTTACATAAAATACCCAAGTATCATAACTCTAGTTCAAATGGTTCTTAGGATATTGTTGTTTGAATGTTTTTACATATTTGACCGCTGTGACCTTGAAAGTATGTCAAGGTCATTGTAATGAGGAAACTTTATAGCACTCCATCCCAGGAACCTACTGACCAAATATCATGACCCTAGGTCCTACAGTTCTTCAGAAGAAGTCGTTCAAAAGAAAAAGTTGACGGACGGACTGGGTGTGTAAAACCATATTTCAACATGGCAATTTCTTTTCCTATGGACAGTTTTTAGGATGGTTAGCACCTAAAAGTTCAGTAATATCAGAACGAGAGAACTTATGTTTGTGTATCAACAGAGAATTACATTACCTGTACAGCAACATAAGGACAATACCTGTAAGTCCTCTGAGAATGGAACACAGGGTATTAATTGGAAGGGATCATATCCACCCTTGGCAAACCGATAGGCTTTTGGTTTAGGATAGCCTTCATCACATCCTTCTTTGTGCTACAAACATACAAAATACTGATTTTCTGAAAGGTACATTTCTTTTTGTTTCAGCAATGTTTATCCTTAAAACAATCCTTATTCAGGGCAAAATGAAAACCACTGGTGTAACTTTTTTTCAAAATCTGTCTCATGGAAGTTGAGAAGTAACAAATCCATTGTTGTGTTTTGTTAGTAACTGGGCGAGCTACAGGAAATCCAATAGATCCTAGTTGACTAGATTTTAACATAGCAAAATTATTTGTTGGAATTACTCAAAATTGAGAGATTTTTGCATCAAATTTTAAGCTTGGATTATAGCTTGAAACAGTGTGACTTACAGACAGTCCAAGAAACCTATTACTACATCTGTATGAAAATATTTCTTATGGAAACAATATAAAAAGCTGCTAAGCCAATATTAAAGTGTACCTCAATAGTTTTGCCCTGCAATTCCTTCTCGTCCACCCAGTGGCCACAGGCATCTCGAATCCTCCGCTTTCGGGGCCTCTGTTGTAACACACATCATATTACATTTATGTCTGGCATGGTATTCTGTCTATTCAAAGGAAGATAACTCAAAATTTGAATTCAATGTACATTACAGTTCCATGTTGTTATAATAACATCAAACAGTAGTTGGGAATCTAAAAGTAGCTGAGCAAACATGGAGAATCATACAAACTTGGAGTATCATACAAACTTGGAGTATCATACAAACTTGGAGTATCATAAAAACATGGAGTATCATACAAACTTGGAGTATCATACAAACTTGGAGTATCATACAAACATGGAATATCATACAAACTTGAAGTATCATACAAACTTAGAGTATCATACAAACATGGAGTATCATACAAACTTGGAGTATCATACAAACATGGAATATCATACAAACTTGAAGTATCATACAAACTTAGAGTATCATACAAACTTGGAGTATCATACAAACTTGGAGTATCATACAAACATGAAGTATCATACAACCTTGGAGTATCATACAAACTTGGAGTATCATACAAACTTGGAGTATCATTAAATTGTGGAACTGACACCACTCTCCACCAAATATATTTTTGTGAACAGCTATTAACATCAGTAAACACAAGTTTCCTGGAATCAATTTAAAGCAGACCTGCCAAAAATATGTTAAAATTTGACAGCCTAGGCCACAACACCCTCTAAAAGCTTTCCCACCCAAAAATCTTTCCCTTTTCCTTATTTTACCAAATTATCAAATCCACCAAAGCCAGTGGCATGTTAATTTTAGATGAAACTGTATAAAGTTAACCTTTCATCATATATGCTTGAGAATGAGATAATAGCTATATAATACGGTTATTGTGGTACAGTTTAGAATTTTACCATTGCCTCCAACTTTGACAGATTGACCTGTATTACAGCCTCTCGGCTAAACCTCTCCCTTGGCCCTGCAACAACAATCTTTGTTGGATGGTTGTAACATGCCTGGTCTGAAACAGATTGGTCAGTTAAAGTTTAGCATAGTTAAAGTTTACAAAATAATACGGACCTGAAAATTAGTTAAAACATAGTTGACATTTTTTCTTTTAATAAAGATAAAACTGTCTGAAATACTTTCACTAAATGCATAAAATTTATAAGATTTACTCATTAAATTATTTCTCATTCCATACATTCTGAAGAATGAAAATTTTGTTTTCCTGACAGTGACAATTAACAATTTTAACATTTTCCATTCTGATACAATGGAATAATTTTCCTAGAAATAATATATAAAAATGTTTTATTACTATAAATATTGATATTGACCACCTTCACTCTTGTAAACTAAATTAAAGTTAGAACTTTTAAATTAAGGCTGTATACTATTTATTGTCATGACATCTTATAAAAAAAGGAGTATTTCACACTAAAAAATCATTTAAATATATCTATGAATGGTTATTACTATGACACATTAAAAGTTAATTTAATGTTAAATACAGTACAGTTATAAGGCATATAACTCAAAGACAAACCAGGGATATGTGTCAGGTCACATATACCCTTAAATGACTGATCATATGAATAAAATCTTTGTAAAGAATCTCACCACAGCCAAAATTAATTGCCCCTGTACACTCCAAGTAAGAGTGTATCCTGCCTATACAGTTGACGTCACCACAGTTCCTGAGGCCAGGCCGCACAGACGTCTTGTTCAGGTAATTGGGGCGGCATTTCCTCCTGTCAACATTTAATTATGTTCAGAAATTATGTTAATATATTTTTTTCACATGATACATGATAAGCACACTGTAAATCTACAAAAATATGTAATAAGGACATTACATTTCTGCATTTTATTGCAATAATTCTGTTCATCAAGGACATATTATCGGTATATACTTTTAAAATAAATGTATTTGTTGTACAGGTAAACACATACTAGGACATATGCCTTATTCCTTTCATCTCTTGACATGATTTCCACTCCATTCAAAAATGAATTTCTCAATTCAAACAGGATATTGTGTCATACATGAATTAACAAGAGGCCCATGGGCCTTAATGGTCACCTGATATATTTATACAGAGAGTTGATTTTGTTTTTAACATGAACAGAATTATTATTCAAAATGACAAAAAAACAATAAAATCACCTTATTCAATATCTAGCATACAGATTTAGGACTAAAAAGTATTTGAAACTAGCACCACTGATTCTAAACAAGGAAACTGAAGAAATTTTAGCACACTGACTCCTTTGGGCCCCACCCTACAGCCCTTGGGGGTAGGGCTGGCTCAAAATGTAATATTCAAAATATCATTTGCCATTATAAACCATAATAAATTTTGCCCCCCCCCCCCTCCCCACCCTTCCTTCCCTAGGGTCTAAACATGAGACCCCAGGGTCATAAACCTTAAGACTAAGACCTTTCAATCTATGGACAGTGTTTGATTCCACCATATCTTGGTCTTGAGAAGAAAAATTTTGAGATTTTAGTCAATTTGACCCTTTTTGGCCCCACCCATCAGCCCCGGGGGGTCAGTCAGGGCTGATATGTGCATACTATCAAACTGCTACCTAATACTGATAAAGCTAACCTAAATTGAATTACTTCCAATGGAAATTAAACAAATGTTGGTCCAAAATGTGATTTCCCTATATAAACTATAGTAAAGTTTACCCCCTCCCCAGGGGAAAACGTGAGACCCCAGGGTCAAGAAATTCACAATTTTTGTAAAGCACCTTAAGACCCTTCCATCTATGAAGAGTATTTGATTCTACCATATCTGGGTCTTGAGAAGAAGATTTTTGAAATTTTAGTCAATTTGACCCTTTTTGGCCCCGCCCCTCAGGCCCCTGGGGGCTTAGGACTAAACCGGCAACTTTTTTTGTTGACCTTTGTCCATGGAAGGTTCCTGCAAAATTTCATTGAAATTGGTTCAGTGGTTTTGGAGAAGTGGAAAATGTAAATTGTTTACGGACGCACGACGGACGACGGACGACGAACGACGGACGACGATGGACAAAAGGCGATCGCAATAGGTCACTTGAGACTTTGTCTCAGGTGACCTAAAAATTTACCATGATTCCAGGATGTAATTTCTGATCTTCATATATCTTTCTGGTGTCTTGGAGGGCCGACCGTCAAAGAACTCAATATGAATTTTTCTCTCCACATCTGTAATGCTTTTATAATCTACCACATGTTCCTCTGTTGGGATAGAGAACTCGACAACTTCTCCATTAGATAGAATAATGCTGTTGGCTGTAAAATATATTCAGAAAAGGAATTAGTGGATAGCGACAATAAGCAGAACACAAAGCATTCCCTTTGTGTTCCGTTCTTATGACACAAAATATTTTAATCTTCTAATCACAAAAAGAATTGTTTGGTTTTTACCGGGTTTTTCATGCATTTTTTCTCAACAGATGATATCCCTGCAGCTATACCCAACACAAATTAGCATGAAACTTAATCAATCATAAAAGATAATTACTGTAAACAAATGTTTCACATATACACCATTTACTTCTTGTTCTGATGCTATTTCTTGCTTTAATTAATCTTGTATGAAGAAACTACATGCACAATTCAATATCTAATAAAGAAAGAAATTGATTTATGTGATAAAATATCTAATAAAAAATGTTTTCAATTATCCTAAATTATTTACAAACTACACTTACAAATTTTTTTCTCATCCCCATAGTTACTTTCTGTTGACCAATCCTCGGACGACTCTGAGATGACTTCTGAGGTCACGGATGTATTCTCCACTGCGTCCAGGGGTTTAACTTCCAACTGACCAGTCTGTCCACTCTCTAGCACTGTTACATCGGAGCTGACGACAGGCATCTCAGAAATTTCACAACTCTCCTCAACAACTTCACATTTTACTGGAGATTTCACTGGTGGTTTATTTTCACTCAATGCCACACTCTCCGACTTATAGCTTGACTTGACCTTCACCTCAGCCTCCTTTTGACTAGAATCTTTGTTTCTTATATTGGCAGCTTTAAGTAGTCGTTCATATACAGAATTAGGTGATGCTGACCTACTTTTCAGAATGGGATTTTCATCATTCTCGTCATCATTTTCTATATCAATATCTATCTCCTCGTCATCCTGACTCGTGTCTTCCATAGACGACGACCCTGGTATAATATCAGCAACAGCACAGAACCCGTCCAGGTTTTCAATGATCCCTGTGGAGCTAGCCAGTTTGTTCTCCAGGGTGGGGCTCAACTGAAGCTGGTTTGCTGGCTTTGTTACCTCCAGGAGCTGGATTTCTCCATTATAAACAAACTGTTTTGGAGTCTCTGCCCCACTGATTGACTCTAAGTTAGTCGTTATTATGGTGACTGGCTGACTCAGTTTAGGAGCTGATGCAGGTCTCTTGGGTAAAACAAGACGAGGACTTGTCTGTGTAATGATTTTCATCGTTGATGTTGATGATGTACCTCGGTCTATAGGTTTGAAGGCCAGACCTTGTGAAGAGGAAGTGGCAGTGTTTGGAATGGGTGGCACCGGACAAGGAGGACACACTGGTAAAGATGGGTTTGATACAACGCTGGGGGAAGGGGCTGTACACGTTGGTCTGGGGTGGGGCACCATGTGTGACCTTGACAAGGTCACCTGAGGACGTATAGCAGTGGCCGTAGTTACTGTCGGCTGACCGGTTGTCACTGACACCAATACATGAGCCAGTGCTGAGTTGTGAAGTAGGGTGGGATCCAACTGGCTCTGTGTAGAAGTCTCCACTACACCGGGGGATCGCTTGGCCTGAACAGACATAATCATCTCATTAAACACACAGAGCTCACACCAGATGTAATCAGATTTTGCAAGGAGCAGACTTTTATGTCAAACCAGAGAAAGGGAGTATTTGCATGCGATCAATGGTCATACAGCATGTTACAAATTACAAAAATGTGCAAAGGTTGTGAAAGTATATACATTTCAACAGATATCACATCATTATCAAAAAACAGATATAAGGATTACAGATGCCAGATAGTTATTTGCAAACTTAGTTGAATATCTTGAACACTTGTTTATTTTGGAGTTGCTTTTCAGTTCAATAACAACTTTATTTCCATAAATGTCATCGTTGAAAAAAGTAATGTACTTCATTTTTCTTTTCAACATGTTAAGTCTCGATGCCTTTCACACAGTTACAAAAAAAAAAATGTTAAATAGAAAAGATAACAATGACCACATGAACGTGGGTGTGTCGGTTAATGATGTAGTCATCTCCTCTTTGTATGTAATACTCCTATGGCCATGCTAGTTAATAACATTCAGGAATCGGTCAACTGAGGTCATGATCAGATGAACTTCACCGAACCTAGCTCCTTACAGACATGGATCACAATCTTTCTTATATCAAAAAATGTGATGACAAGTCACTGTAAACACTGTAAACAATAGCACACATATTTCAATACTCCAGGATACATCAGATCTATTCATAAGTTTACAGTATTCACACTACATATAAACTTTATTTACTTTACAAAAATTATGCAGCAAGTTATTTCAACATATATTCATCACTCTTGTTCGCCCAGATGTTTTGTGCGGAGGGTCTTTATGTGGGAGGAAACCCTGGTGAAAGGCAAGTGCGCTATCCACTATGCTACCCGACTATCCATTGAAATTCACACTAAATAAAAGGTGTACGGTAATGTAATTGTTCATGTCATATACATACCTGCTGTTTGAAATACTGTTGGGCATAGTTTTTAACCTGCAGTGTTGTACGTGATGGTATAAGCTGTGCAATCTTGGACCAACTTCTTCCGAAGATCTCCTGAAATCAAACAATTTGTGTCATTATTATTTTAATAGATAATCTAGATAATTCATTGGAGTTTTACTTCTGTTGTATTGTCAATGTTTGTCAAGGAAAAATGTACTTTTTAAATCAAAATTGAAAATTCGTTTTGAATTTGAGTATAGTACAAGTGATATTTAAAACTTAATGCATGATTATAATTTTAAATTTTGAATGGTTATTATATTATTTTACATAAAAGTGTTTGTTGCCATTTTCATGTTAAAGTGTGTTTTTTTTTGTTTTTTTTTAATGAATGAATGAGTTCAGATAATCCAGAAAACTCACAATGAACTACCATTATAGTGAATTTTTGTAACATCTGCAACATTAGTTGTTCAAAAACTTTATAAGAGAAACAAAGCATCCGGATTATCAAATTATTTTTCTTAGATTCATTAAAATATCCTCCCCAGACAGAATACCTACCCCAGACTGAATACCCTCCCCGGACAGAATACCCACCCCGGACAGAACACCCACCCCAGACAGAATACCCACCCAAGACAGAATGCCCTCCCCAGACAGAATGCCCTCCCCAGACAGAATTCCCTCACCAGACAGAATACCCTCGCCGGACCGAATACCCACCCCGGACAGAACACCCACCCCAGACAGAACACCCCCCCCAGACAGAATACCCACCCAAGACAGAATGCCCTCCCCAGACAGAATGCCCTCCCCAGACAGAATGCCCTCACCAGACAGAATACCCTCGCCAGACCGAATACCCACCCCGGACAGAACCCCCACCCCAGACAGAATACCCACCCCAGACAGAATACCCACCCCAGACAGAATACCCCCCCAAGACAGAATGCCCTCCCCAGACAGAATGCCCACCCCAAACAGAATGCCCACCCAAGACAGAATGCCCTCCTCAGACAGAATGCCCTCCCCAGACAGAATACCCTCGCCAGACCGAATACCCACCCCGGACAGAACCCCCACCCCAGACAGAATACCCACCCCAGACAGAATACCCAACCAAGACAGAATGCCCTCCCCAGACAGAATGCCCCCTCCAGACAGAATACCCTCGCCAGACCGAATACCCACCCCGGACAGAACACCCCCCCCAGACAGAATACCCACCCAAGACAGAATGCCCTCCCCAGACAGAATGCCAACACCAGACAGAATGCCCACCCAAGACAGAATGCCCTCCTCAGACAGAATGCCCTCCCCAGACAGAATGCCCACCCCAAACAGAATGCCCACCCAAGACAGAATGCCCTCCTCAGACAGAATGCCCTCCCCAGACAGAATGCCCTCCCCAGACAGAATGCCCTCTCCAGACAGAATACCCTCGCCAGACCGAATACCTTCCCAGACAGAATACCCTCCCCAGACAGAAAACCCTCCCCAGACAGAATACCCACCCCAGACAGAATGCCCTCCCCAGACAGAATGCCCACCCCAAACAGAATGCCCACCCAAGACAGAATGCCCTCCTCAGACAGAATGCCCTCCCCAGACAGAATGCCCTCACCAGACAGAATGCCCTCCCCAGACAGAATGCCCACCCCAAACAGAATGCCCACCCAAGACAGAAAACCCCCCTCAGACAGAATGCCCTCCCCAGACAGAATGCCCACCCCAAACAGAATGCCCACCCAAGACAGAATGCCCTCCCCAGACAGAATGCCCACCCCAAACAGAATGCCCACCCAAGACAGAAAACCCCCCTCAGACAGAATGCCCTCCCCAGACAGAATGCCCACCCCAAACAGAATGCCCACCCCAGACAGAATGCCCTCCCCAGACAGAATACCCTCGCCAGACCGAATGCCTTCCCAGACAGAATACCCTCCCCAGACAGAATACCCTCCCCAGACAGAGAACAGTATTTACCAGTCCCGACTGGAACACTTGTTTCTCCTCTTCACTCCATGGCTGTTTGTGAGACATGGGTTTCGACTTGGAACTGCCGGCAATCTTATCTAGTCTTTGGCGGGTACCAACCTTCCCATTCAAGTAATATCTCACATGGTCAAGGTATATACATAATGTAAATTTCTGTAAATAACATGCCCAATAGAAGTCTTTTGATTAAACATGTGAGGTATATATGTCTTAGGTATTGTACTTATTTAAGTATTATGATATACAGGTGTAATAATAATTAATTGGCATGTAGACTAAATGCCTCAATACTGTATACCGGAAAATTTTAGACCATCAAAATGCGAAAAATCAAACTGTAGCAAAAAATTCCTGGTATACAGTAATACCTAAAGGTAATTCAAGTTTTGGCATTAGATATGACATTACCAGAATAACTATACTTCGTTAGTAAGGTAAATAATTATATGACAAAAGGTTCCTGTCTTTTTCACTCAAATAACTTTTTAAAAAAAATGGAGATTTGAGCATATATTAGCACTGTCTGGACCAGTCCATAGATGTTTGACAGGGTGTAAAAGGATACTGCTCCTCCTGTAGCATTTTCTCAATGGTGGCCTTGGACTTCTCATCAATACAGCTGTCCATTGTCCATCCCTAAATATAAATTCAGAAATGTTGTTACCATGTAAAAACATTTAACATTAGGTAGTTATACGTAGATTTAAAAGCAAACATACATTTTAGAATAGCTATGAGGTGTAGATCTGTATGAAATAAGTTGGACAAATCTTGCCTTAGCTACACACAGATATGCTCTTCATGTCACTGTATGCTAAACATACACATGTGCTGGATATAATAATTTATTCAAGCTTATCTTATTAAACTGAATATCTAATGATCTCATAAATACATTTTCCACAACTTCCCTTAGCCCTGCAGCATTGTAAAAGCAAGAGGGTGAAAACCCTGGATGTGCTTTCATTGTTATCTGGTCAATGAACTAACTGATGACGTCACATAACAATGCTATTCATCAGCATCTTTTATTGTGATGTCATGATCTGATTCACAGCCAACATAACTTTGTTTTCTCAACACCTGTTGCCAACTGAAGCTTGATAACTGATTTCACAACTTAAACAAAAGCATTAATTAACTCGCAGTCGTACAGCGTGCGCTGATCTTCGACGGCCCTGATTATGTTTTTCGCAATCAGATCGTTTTCTGGGACGACAAACCTACAGATTTTCCCCATTTTTAAAACCTTAGTAGCGAATTTAATAGCCACATTGTATTTTTAGTCGCCAATAAAAAATAAAAGTAGTCAATGGCTACTTTGGCGACCGACAGCGCGAGCCCTGTAACTGTTATCACGTATTTCCAACACAGATGATTTTTCAGTCATAATATGAACATGACAGTAGTAAAATATCCCCAATTCATACCACTTTTCTATACAAAGAGTACACATAAATCTTGGTAGTCAATTTATTAATTGCATGCAGCTTTCACACTTCAGACGTTTAAGTTCCTGTATCATCGTTTCACCTGTTCAAGCATCCAAGCGGGATTTGTGTACTCTGGCAGGAGGTTAGCACTCTTTGATGGCAGTTCATTAGTGTCGTAGATGTTGGCAACCCTTCAAATAAAATGTGATGTTTCTTTAGTGTCTATATATATGTTACGCCATAATATTAAATAGTTCTTGCTTTAATATTATCCTCTAGTCTTTTCGTTAAAGAGTATTGTTCTTCCTCTGTCTACAAATGATACAATAGGAAAATTATAATTACACACATGCCCATTGACAGAGTATTGATGTATGTGGTTATAAGTCTGAAATAGTTGTTTACCCACAATGGCATTGTATATGACGAGACCAATTACTGAATATCAAAGAAATTAATAAAAGCACCAAAACAAAAATTGGATCCAAAATTCTATAATATATATATATCATAATAGTATGTCGCCACATACTCAAATATCAAGCAGAATGTTGTATAAATATGTGGATTTATTTTTGTTGTCATGTAGAGATCATGTAACTATAATTGTTATAAGAGATGAAAAGCGTTAGATATTGTGATGTTTTCATGTATAAAGAGAGGAGTAAACCTAATTAAAGAATAAAGATGAAGGTACCAAATTACATTATCAAGATGTGGTTTGGTTCGTATCTAAAAACAAAGCTTTCATCTCAATCGGCTCTATCCAATACAACTTGCATTTAAACCTGCGTCAATGTTTTTACCTAAAATCTGTTTTTTTATATAATTATACCAACCCATGCCACCAGTCAATGAATGAACTAAGGCAGGTGTAATCTAGCATGTCATATAACATTTTATATAGGTTTTTTTCCAAACGGGTAAACGGCTCTGATGAACAAAAACAAATGCCATCCTTAAATAGATGAATGATCTAAGTTGCATTATATATATTATATGCACAGAAGTGAAAAAAAATGCATATCCCATACATATTTAGACATGGTAAAATATAAATAATCACTATGTTTGTGTATTATGAAATTCTATTACATATATAAGTATAACTCAATATTACAAAAAGTTGGCCTTTCTTAAACCATTTTTCCAACATTTTCCCATTCTTTATTCTAAATTCTATCATAATCCTTGCACATGAAACAGGAGATAGAAAAATGCACGCCCAGACTTGTGTTTGAACCCGGGACCCTCCAAACTCTAGACAGACGCTGTACCAATTGAGCTACCTGGTCACCAACATTAGACTCAGTCCAGTACCGCTACATAATAACATTCCTCCCTCCTTTTTCTATTAAGTCTTTGACCCTAAAGACACAACTAATAATTACAAGTTTAGGTATTCCCTTGCCAATTGTACACCAAATGCTTGAAACAAGGGTTGGTCACAGACAATTCTGTAAAAGAAAATGGAAAAATGCATGGCCAGACCGGGGATCGAACTTCGGACCCTCCAAACTCTAGACGGATGCTCTACCATTTCATCTACCTGGTCGCCAACAATTGACCAAGACCAGTTCTGCTACACACATTTAGTTGACTCTTTAAAGTTGATGGTGGCAATTTCAGCTGTCATATAGACTTTTCTCTGAATTTTGGAGAATCAAACTTTGTCAAATATATATACCTGTCCTCAAAACCCAATTAAGTCAAGACTTAACAAAATTTTGAAGAATCACAAATAAACTTCCAACTTATGAAAGCCCTGAACAGAAGCTAAATATGCTGGAAAGTACAGTACTAACAATATATATATATGAGTTATTTCTGTCTAGGCATGGCTAGTACAAAGGCTTCATTCATAATCATTGTGACTCATGTGACACAGTCGCTGCAACACTTAAGCTTACATGTACTTGATATGCATTGAGGTCTTTGTTTTAATATAGCCTAGTTATCAATGCAACTAAGCTGTAAGTAAAAGTGTATATATCGATTTATACAACTGATAATATCGAACAGCACAAAAAATGTGTTTTAAAACTTAAATCAACTTGTCATTTGTTTTGTTATGAACAGCTGATAAATATGATGATTATTTATGTCAACATTATCTCAATAAACTAACGATATATTACGTTTTCTTCGTGCTTTGGGAACGACAAGCAAACATAATAAAACTTTGATTGGATTAATGACTTAAGACTTATATTCAGCCATGTATTTGGGATTTTCCTTTTCAAAACTCACTCCAATTTAAAATCAAAATCTCCTTCAATATCAATATCGCCATCTTCCGCCATTTTTATTTGTCTGCTAGCCGTCTACCCGTAGTTTCGTATCTATTGCAAAAAATAATCTTTTAGCCTTACTAAAATATAAATTTTCAAAATTTATACACTTATTTTATATTAATATTGCATGTTTCATTAAATTAACACTTTACGATTTTTCATATATAGTTCGAAAACAAAGGAAAACACACAAAAGTTACTTCCGGTACTTTTGGCCATGTGCTCGTTTCAGTGTAAGTATGGGCTTATTCGGGGTTCGCCTACAGATACCCTTAAGTATATATGTGATGCACTTTATAGATGTAATTTTTACAGCACCTCGTGATGTGTGGACCTCTTTCATTTAATATCTAGATTTGAACAGATTTCCGATTGAAAAGGAGCAATCATTCATCGTTTTTGATCGGTATAAGTTTCAGAGCGGCCATTTCATCTAATTCTAACCATCGTCTCAAAGGAAACACAATTTGTTTTATTTTTATTTATCACGGATCTATGTTTTAATGTCAGCTGTTATGTTGTTATCTCAGCGAAGCCGAATCAAATGGAACATAGTCATATCATGACTACTTTACCCTACGCAAAGAAATCCAAAATCCACGGGAACTGAAATATACATAAATGTACAATTGTAGTACGACAAGGAATAGTAATAAAGATAGTGCCGTCGCTGGGGCTTGAACTCACGACCCTTGGCAGCTAGATGCTCTACCGCTGAGCTAAATGGAAATTCCCATACTCGTTGATACTTGCAAAGGAATCGCTATGACCCCTGGAAAACTCGGGACAAGCTCTTTCCTGGAGAAGGAGTATGTCACACTGGTAAAATACTAGCTGTTTCCTACCGACTCGGCTAGGGAAAATTTCTCTTTAGCTCATTCGGTAGAGCGTTGGACTAGTAAACCAGAGGTCCCTGGTTCGTCCTAGCAGAGGCATTGAAAATATAATGACCTCTGTTACAAGTACTAGAAACAAGGGTTGCAAGTTACAGGCACGCACCACTGTAACGGGAAAGTAAAAATGCACAGCCAGACCTGGGTTCCAACCAAGGACCTTCAAACTTAAGATGACACTCCAACCAATTGAGTTTTCGGGCTGCCAGTGATCGACAGTCTAGTTCTGCTACACCTGGAAATAGAAATGATTTTGTTCCAGACCAGTCTTTTTTGTCTGTTAAGCACTCAAGAGTATTGAACACAAATGAGGCCTCAGCTTGCGGCTTCCCTCAGCTGAAGCCTGAAGGAGACTTGTCAGTAGAATATATCTGTGATAAGCCATGTGGATGTTAATATTTCTGCGAAAAATAAAATTTAATTTATACAAATCATGATCTAGTGATTTGATATTTAACATTTACATTTCCTTAATATTTTACAGGACATAAAGCACAATGACGTCTCTAGCCAAACAGTTGGAAAGACTTGCGGTCCCGCATACACAGACAATCTATGGGGAAGACCAGAGAAAGAAATCACTCCTGTTTGATCCATCAGAAGCTGCTTCTATAGACAAAGAGACATTTTATAATTTAGGTGCGTATACTTGATTCTGTAGCTTTAATTAGCAATGTTTTGTAAACTTGTATATATGCCCATATGCTTGTTTTACACTACATGTATATGTAATTGTAATAAACATTGAATCTCCCCTAAAATTGTCTACCATAGATGATAGCTAATTTAGCCTAACCTCCCAAATTGGTGTGTTAATTATTTTAGACTATTTTGATAGTTTAGAAAATCAGTGTAACTTTACAGTGTTTCAATCAATCAGCTTACATATAGGCAGGGCTCCAAAACTAGACAGACAGTAGTCTTGTCATTTGTGCACTTTTCTCATTTTTTCTCAGTTTGGTATGTTTTCCATGTCTTCATCCTCTTGATTGTATTTTTTATAAATGGTGATAATCATTTACATGATAATGTTGTTCCTGTTGTATGTGGAGTTCAAAGTAGTTATAAGATAAGAACATCCCAGTTCTGATGAACTAACTAGTACTGTGACCAGTAAATCGGGACATAAACTGGTAGATTTCGTCTGTGGACGAGTGAAAAATATGTGCCTACTTGCCCTGACAGACTGGTGTCAAAATCCCTGTACATTATTAATATTTTCATTACATACTGTTTTATTATTTATCAAATAAACATACTTGACCTGAAAAATAGTTTTATTTCTGTTAAAATTATAGATCTTATTAAGACCACTTTCATGAAAGAAATAATGTATCATTGATATGGTTGTTTTATCCTTTTAGATGATATTTTGTAAACTAAATAAAATCAAAATTTGGTATAATAATTATGAAAGTTCGCAATTTGGATTACTGTAACACAATTTTCCCAATTCCAAAGCCACAGGTCAATTTTTAAAATACTGAAAATATAGATCGGGCTAGTGGAATTTTTTCTCCAAAATCTGCCTCTGATCTTGTATTCTATCTAAAATAAGAAATTGAACTTTTGAATGAGTATGTTAGTGTAAAAGGAAAAGAAAAGACTGGGATTCGAACTAAAGGGTATATATCAGAACAGGAAAATGTTTAATTTATTTTGTAAAATTTCATATTCAATTTCAGGCATAAATGGGTTGGAAGAGCTTGAGACTATAGATGCGTCCTTTCAAGAATATGAATCCAATCTATTTGCTGAGTCGTCAATGTCGTTTGAGAGAAGTGTACAGAGCAGTGATGTAAATGACCGTTTGAATGAGACCCTGTCTCAGTTCCTGCTACATTTGTCACCTTATTGCCTACTCAAACCAGCACATAAAGCACTGGAATGGTTGATATACAGGTAGGACATAGACAATGAAATCACATAATAAAGCTGGCTTAAATAATATGTAAGCTCAACATTTTTTTATGAAGAGTTTCATTTTGAATATACCTCACATTAATAAAATTGCTTTATGAACTTTACCTTGCTGTACAAAAATCTTGAACATGTATTTGATTTCTTCAGAGTCTATTTTCTTTTTTCAAGGTATCACATCCACCAATACAATGTTGACGAGCTTGTGATGTGTGTGCTGCCTTACCATGAGAGTAAAACATTTGTCCGTGTCATCCAGTTGTTACCACTAGATGCCAAAACAGCATCCAAGTGGGACTGGCTCAAACAGATACAGGTAAGTAGGCAACTTTCCTTTCTTTAAATCACAAATCATTTGGCTACCTGTAATGTTAACTCTTCCAGTGGTATAAAAATCAATAAAAAACAAAGTATGCACGAATAAATAATTAACATTAATATGCTGCTGTGGGGTTAATAGTAACATGTTGTAAATTAGTGAATTTCAAAACCTGTGAGTGCAGTATTTGGAAAAATTCTGTTATTAAGGCTACATAGTTATGGCATGTATTATGTGTAAAATTGTTATAGGAAAGAGTTCAGTATAAAGTAGGAAAAGTTATTTTTGAACTAAAATAAGAACCTCTTAATATTTCTTACATATCAATGTACATTGTCTTTAAGATAATTTTTCTCTATATTGTACTGATGGGCACAGGCCTAAATATTCAATAACTGTAATTGAATGTAAATTAAATTTGGAACTTGAGGATAGATTCAAATATGTGAAAACTACATTTTACTTATTACAAGACTTCCTGTTTTATGTTGTTATATGGAGGTAATTTGATAACAACTGTTAACTGATCATTTAGATATATATTTTGTTAATTTTCTTTGCAGAAATCTGGAGTTCATTTAGCCAAGATGACTTTGGTAAACCACTGTCGAACTAACCATGCCTTCCTGTCTACAGTGTGTGACATGGTGTACAAATCTGTCAAGGTCGGTCTACATCAAATACAGTTGTTAAGCAGTCTGTACACTGTATGCAAGTCCCAAATAATACTTACTTTACTAAATAGATTAATATATATATATCTTTTTAATGAATAACAAGTCTCTTAGAGTTTTTCATGATAAAAAAAAAAATCAAGACAAATTTGTGTCGTTATTTTCATATCTAAATAACTCAGTGATACAAGAATAAGATGGCTAAGTTATCATTTCTTGAAGTTTTGGAACAAAATATTTTGTTACATTCAGTTGATGTACTGTATTTTATGTTTTTCAGGTCCATATCCAGTACAGTGAGAAATTACCTCACCTACGGACGCTGTTTTCTTTCTTCACCACCACTGTCATTGGAGTGTTAGACTCTGAGAAGGTCAAGGAGGAGCTGGTCTCCACACTGCTGGCTCATATCAGTCACGGTCTGCGCTCCAAGATCCTTGACTACAAGGCTGCGTCCTACATGATTATGGCACAGCTTCTTTTCAAGGCAAAACTCCAGAAAACCCTGCTGGAAACACTGATGAATGGAATGTGTAAGGTACTGAACAAAGGACAATATTATTGAATTTTGATTTAAATGTGTACTGCAGTTGCAATGATGTATATTATCAAGTCTTAGTTGATTGTGAGGTCTTGTGTATTTAAACCTTGGTTACTGGTAAACACAGGTTAAAGTTTATGGTTACATCAAATTATTTATCTTTATTTGTAGCATTTGTCCGCCCAGCTCCTACAGGAAGCTGTCTCCTGTCTCCTCCTGATGTTCCAGACCCAGGACATCTCCAAACTCACCAACAGGTAATTCACCAGTCACAGTTTTATTATGACAAATTTCAAATTGATAGTTCTCATATATCTCTCAGTATAAACGTACCAGCTTCCCACGTTTCTACGACTCCTACGAGTCTGTAACTACAATATGTATATATAGATATCATCTGTCGATTGATACTACCTGTCTATTTATACTACTACCTGTCTAACACAGAAACCATCTTGTAAATAGTACCTGTCTTATAGATAGAATTATAATTAGATAAGTGTCAGCTGGTAGAGTTCCTGTCAGGAAACTTATATATTGTATATATCATATAAACATTGTTACTAGATTTGTATCTTGTATCTGGAGTGTTAACAGGAAAATATAAATTATAAACTTTGTTGATCAATCTTGAGAAATTTAAATTGAATATTATCTCTGTACATATGCGATTTCATATATCAAATGACAAGGTATTTAAACAGTATTTTTATTTTACTTTCATCCACAGAGCTTTCAAGCATTTATGTCGCCAGACTACCTTGGTTGACTGTTTGGCCCATATGACTACCAGCTTCAAGGCTGACTCTCTGATACAGACATTTCTCCTCAAGCTGATACCCTGTGCAGTGAGAGAACACTCAATCCTGACCAGCTCTGGGAACAGTAGCGACTCCGACTCCGGTGGGGGCGTTCCACAATACCTTAGCCAGTTATATACATTGATGTCCACAGCCAGTCTTAGTCAGAGTACTACCAAGCTTGCTATCAGGTACTTGGTCCACCTGTCTTCTGCGTACACATAACCTATTTACATCTTAGAAAGATATTAAATTTAAAATGTTCATAATTAAGTTTAATAATACAGCATAAATAATTTCAAAAAAATGTATGGGTAGGCCTGTTGTTTATTTTCAGATTGGAATTAGCCAATCTTTTAAACCAGTGCTCTTTAGTCTGGAACAAAATCTTACAATAATGTCTGGAATTGATGCTGCATTCTTAAATTCCGAGTTCATTCATGTCACACAAAAAATGCAAGAAAACCCCACTGCCACGATAATTGACTGATATACTGTTAAGTCAAACACAATTTTCCACCTGCTATTACACGACTATTCCATATGGTCTTAATTGTATTATCTTTGTCTGGCAGAGAAATAGTACAGAGCTATGTGAGGTATTGGCCTCGTGTGATTGGAGAAGAGGAGAAGTCTGACTTTAACCGGAGTCTGCGGAGTATCGTACGTCTACTGGAGGGGAGGTACTACACGGCACTAGATGAGGCAGTGGAGGAGGTACTTAAGGAGACAAAGAATGATGCGGTCAGAGACATTGTCAAGGCCTTCCTCCACTTGTCTGTGGGTGCCATTCAGGACGATGATGAGGAAAGCTCAGGGATGTCCCTGCTTCTTCTCAACCACCAAAACTGTGTCATCAGGAGGGAAACCACTCAACGCTTCATGAAGAATATAAGCAATGTAATGTATTGTACTAATCCATTTATTTTATACCTGGTAACATGCTGTAAAATAACCCTGATACAGTTTACTGATATCATTCAGCACTCAGTTCATTCCATGACATCTTGAAGTTGCATTTTTCTTTTGTGATCAATTCAACTGTTTAACTGTTATTCTTAATATTGAAATATATATACTAGGTTAGCTTATCATATTACGACAGATTTTCAAAGTCTGATTATATTCTTAAGTCGTTAACCCGAATAATTTTTCAAATAGTGATTTGAAAAAAAAAGCATCTAACATTTTGAGATTTCTGATATATTTTATTAAAGTTCTGAATTTAATATTTTGCAGATGGAGGAGAGTGACTTTGTGTCGGACACACTAATGGCGCGGTTACAAGATGATGATGTAGGAGTGGTGCTTGCCGTTCTATCACCTAAAGAGGTAACTTTGTTAGCTCACCTGCCCGAAGGGCAAGTGAGCTTATGTCATGGTGCGGCGTCCGTCGTCCGTCCGTCCTCGTCCGCCAATTTTTCCTTTAAACAACTTCTTCTGAAGAACGGACAAGCCTAGAGTCATGATATTTGGCTGAAAGCTTCGTTGGTAGGAGCCCTACAAAGTGTGAGAACGAAAATGACCTTGACTTGTTTTCAAGGTCACAGGGGTCAAATATGTCAAAAACTTCAAACGACTTCTCCTGAAGAACTGAAAGGAATAGAATCTTCATATTTGGCTGATAGCTTCCTGGGATAGAGCCCTACAAAGATTGAGAATGAAAATGACATTGACCTACTTTCAAGGTCACAGGGGTCAAATGTGTTAAACACTTCAAACGACCTCTCCTGAAGAACTAAAAGGTATAGAATCTTTATATTTGGCTGGTGGCTTCCTGGTATAGAGCTCAACAAAGTTTAAGAATGAAAATTAGTTTGACCTACTTTCAACGTCACAGGGGTCAAATATGTCAAAAACTTCCAACGACTTCTTCTGAAGAACTACAAGGTATAGAATCTTCATATTTGGCTGATGGCTTCCTGGGATGGAGCCCAACAAAGTTTGAGAATGAAAATTACCTTGACCTACTTTCAAGGTTGCAGGGGTCAAATGTGTCAAACACTTCAAACGACTTCTTCTGAAGAACTGAAAGGTATAGAATTTTTATATTTGGCTGGTGGCTCCCTGGGATGGAGCCCAAAAAAGTTAGACAATGAAAATTAGTTTGACCTACTTTCAAGGTTACAGGGGTCAAATATGTCAAATGCTTCCAACGACTTCTTCTGAAGAACAGAAAGGTATAGAATCTTTATATTTGCCTGGTGGCTTCCTGGGATAGAGCCCAACAAAGTTTGAGAATGAAAATAAGTTTGACCTACTTTCAAGGTCACAGGGGTCATATATGTCAAAAGCTTCAAATGACTTCTTCTGAAGAACTGAAAGGTATAGAATCTTTATTTTTGATTGATGGCTTCCTAGGATAGAGCCCGACAAAGTTTGAGAATGAAAATGACCTTGACCTTCTTTTAAGGTCACAGGAGTCAAATGCGTCGGACACTTCAAACGACTTCTTCTGAAGAACTGAAAGGTATAGAATCTCTATATTTGGCTTTTAGCTTCCTAGGAAAGAGCCGAACAAGGTTTGAGAATGAAAATGACCTTGATCTACTTTTAAGGTCACATGAGGCAGATATGTCAAACACATCAAATGACTTCTTCTGAAGAACTGGAAGTTATAGAACCTTAATATTCGGCTGGTTATTTCCTGGGAAAGAGCCCAACAAAGTTTGCGAATGAAAGTGACCTTGACCTACTTTCAAGGTCACAGAGGTCAACAACATTTTAATGGATTTGTTCTTAAGAACTAAAAGGAATGGATTCATAAGATTTGGCTGGTAGCTTTTGGAATAGAGCTTACCAATTTGAGAAGGAAAATGACATTGACCTACTTACAAGGTCACAGGGAAAAGTATGTCAAGCAACTTCTGAAGAATCAAAAAGCATAGATTCTTGTAATAATATTTTGCTGATAGTTTCAACAGATTGAGCCAACAAAGTTTGCGAGGGAATTTTAGTGCAATATAATATTTAATGAGAATATTTAGCTATGACTGCTTTAATATTCAGGTGAGCGATACAGGCCCTCTTGGGCCTCTTGTTTAAAAAAAAAAGCATTTCTTGTACCAAAATCAGGTAACACCACAGTAGAAACAAGTCCCAAAAGAGAACAGAAATCAATCTCTTTTGAGCTGCTAGAGTTTAAGAGATGTTACTAGACCTGGTAATGTCAGGTTGATGCTTAACTCTATTAATACATTATGATTTAGATGGAACATGTTTTGTTTGATATTTGTCTTAAAGTTAATTGAATTTCTTTAGTATTAAATCAAAATATTACAATAAAAGTTCATCAGACATCGTAACCAAGCATACTTTCAGTTGTTGCATTGATAAATGTGTTGTGAACTCTCCTTCACAATAATGCTAGTCCAGAACAGATGAAGTGGTTTTGACCAATGCATGAAGCATTCCTTGTGATACTATATCCTATTTGTATCATTTTATTTACAGAATATTTGGAAGTTTGTGAAAGACCAAACCAAGCTCTTTGAGGTTTTGTATATGCTAAATACTAAACGTGAACAGGAAAAATTCAAGAAAACGAGAGGGAAAGGAGAGTGGTAAGAAATGTATTTAAAAATTATGTAAATTTATTCAATTTGATTTAAATAATTCGTTGAATCTTGTAATCAATGGAATTTTGGTACAGTATTGGAAAATACACATATAAGCATCCAGCTGGTATTAAATGAAACATCACATCATTGAGAAGCTATTATTTGATATCATTGGCAAGTTTGAAGAGAACAAATGAAGTTGTCAAGCTGCCAAATCTATAACTATGAAAATGCAACAGAGCAAGACCAGGATTTGAACCCTGAACCTCCTTTCACTTAACAGTCACCCAAACTAATAGAGCTACCCGATCGATGGTAGTTTCCTGTCCCAGTTTCACTACTTAAATTCACTCCCCCCTGAAGATTCATTTGAACTCTTCCAATTCAAAGATTGAAATAGTTCATTATGAAATTTCAGAGGTGAATGAGTAAATATCCAAAACTAAATTAAGGGGAAGTAACAGTATCATGAAAAAATTCCGTGAAATCCAGTATGCATTACAATCTACAGTGGAATTATCAAGTATTTTGCCTGCAGTAGGACAGGAATCATTGAGGAAACTGCCTTTGATAAATCATGTTACCTCCCATGCTTTTCCGTTGGGGAAAATGAGTGATCTCAGGGAAACAAAAGTTCATGTTTCCTTAATAATTGGGAAATAAATACAATAAAACCTTGATTTAATGCGTTCCATTTGCCACCCTGCACACCACCACATATTCCTAGGTCCCCTTTCCCCTTTTTCTTAGGTTTATAGGTTTCTCTCAGAACCCCTTTATAATGCCAATATATCTCTGCACAAATGGTGGCAGTATACGAAGGTTTTATTTTATATAACACTGATATCTTGAAACAGCTGTTAAAAAACCTAATCATTAGACCTTGTGTACTGATTACTGTAACTGTATTCTCTTGTAGGAAGCAGGTTGAGTTGCTCTCCTTGGAATTGATGTGCAAATGTCCTAAAGACTTTGAGGACAAAGCCATGGCAACCGGGATACGGTACTTCTTCACAGTGGGAGGAGACCAGATAGCGTTAGAGATGTGTAACTGTCTGATGATGTCACCAGTAGGCAAACAAAGCAGTGTATTACAGAAGTTCGGAGAAAGTAGGTAGCTCCTCCCCTTACCTTCATATCTTGTTAAATCTAGGGCTTTGATGTGTCCGGCTCTAAAACGATGTGACAGTGACCTATATTTTCTGCTCAATATGTTTCTGGGCCACACGTTTTTCACTTTAGTGTGCAGGTTTACGAAACTTCTTATACTGTTACATCTAGATGTTAAGATGCGGCACATATACAAACTAGGTTGCAGTGAACTCTATATTCCAAGCCACTGAGCAAGAAATTAAATCCGCTTTTGGGCCATAACTTCCTTGTGATTCATGCAGGATCATATATATTGTTACATCTCTAGGTGAAGGTGTGTTTCATGCCATAATTAGGTCAATATATCCTGTATTTTACTCTCCAATGAAGAAAAATAACAGGATGATTTCTGTGCTCTAATTTTTAATGAAGATGTGCACCATAACTAGGCCTCTGTGACCTATATTTCTTAATCCATTAACTATCATTTAGGATATCTGTTGAATTGACTGACTTTTTAAAATGACACCTCCAAAACTTCTGGGCTAGATTCAACCAAATCATAGTGGTATTATCCTTAGCCCAAGAGGAATTGTTAAACAAATGAAGAGACTGATCCTCCAGAGGAATTGATTTGCTTTAAATGACCCCCACCCCCCACCCCCCAAACTGCTGGGTAGGTTCCAACCAGGTTATGGTGAAGGCATCCTTAACCTTTGAAGATTAACAGTTATACAATTAAAGTTGCTAACATTCCTGGGGGTTCTCCTCACAAATTACTGGGCGGGTTTCAGTCTCACTTCCAGAGGAGTCATACATACTCCGTGGGCCTTTTGTTTCCATGTCTCACTCACCCTGTAACTTATATTTTATTTATCACTTGACTTCAATAAGAAACATTTTCTTTTGTGCCCTTTCAGTCCCATAGTTTTAAACCTGTGAATGTTGCAGACCGTTTTTTCTTTTTGTTTTTTGTTTTAAAACCACACAACTTTGTCATGGAGAGAGTATCTTTTTGAGCTTTATAACACATTACATTTCCTTTTTTTCTGATTTTACAGTTACAAAAGATTATATAAAAAGTGTGGACAAACTAGGACCTCACAATCGAGGAGGGTTTAATCTTGCAGTGGTCAGAAATCTTGGAAAATGCATGGCAGATTTGGACAAAGATGAAGTGCTAGATCTGGTTAGTATTAGATTTTAATCAATTTATGAAATATTCATCAGTCTAATTTACATATGATTGGTAAATTAGAATAATACAGAATAATTACATTCCAAGACTTTTGTTTCAGCTGTACATTAAGAATACAGACTTATATAGGAAGTTATTTTACTAGTTTCCATGGTTGCAATAGAACCGTTAATATTTATAGTATGGTTAATTTATTAATTATTATTATTTAAAAACACACAAAAACTGTTATGTTTCTCTTACAATTTTTCAGTTTTAAATTCATCTAAGCTTTCTTGTGAGTTTTTTTTAATCAGCTGAATGTTTTGAGAAAATGATAATAACGAGAAATATCATTATGCATCAACACTAAATGGCACTACCCTGTCATTTTCAGATAGACCTGTGGAGCAGCAACTGGAAGCTGAACAGAACCAAATGTCTGGTACTACTTCTTGTAGACTATCTTCTGGAGAACAACAACTGCACGCTGGACCTCTGTGTCCGACAGATGGACTTCATTCAGCGAGCTCTTATGCAGGTAAACTTCTTACAGCAACATAATATAAGAAGCTGACAAATGGACTTTCTTTAGTGAGTTCATATTTTCATATCTTGGTACCTATAACTGCTATATGGATTATATATTTAAATGTTTGTCTGTTATCATTTTGCAGCCTTGAAATTCTTATCATATGTGCAATGTTGTTTTCTACATTAGTTTGAATGAATTGTTGCACTCTGTATCGTTCACAAATGTATGATAGGCAACTTCATAACTTGGGTATCTAATCCTGTGTTGTCTTTGAGGACTCCCTGAGATTAGTTAACTAATGTTGTTTCGTGAAATGCAGTCATATACCAGGATTCCTTTGAATAATTGTCACAAAGCCCTTCAAACTTTATTCAGGACAAAGAGGTGGAACATAGAAATGTTCAGGAAACTATTCTTCCCTGCTCTCTGGAGGATGCAGTTAATGAAGTTTATAAATACCTGAACAACCAAAAAGGCCTTATAGAGGAGTTTACACTGATGCTGCTGCACAGAACAATCGAATATATAGGTCGTTTCAAGTCCTACATGCCAGGTAAGTCATTAAGGATGCCTGTACAATCACTGTCTCTCCCTACCTGTATTAGTGATAAAGGATGTCTGTACAATCACTCTCTCTCCATACCTGTATTAGTAATAAAGGATGCCTGTACAATCACTGTCTCTCCCTACCTGTATTAGTAATAAAGGATGCCTGTACAATCACTGTCTCTCCCTACCTGTATTAGTAATTAAGGATGCCTGTACAATCACTCTCTCCCTACCTGTTATAGTAATTAAGGATGCCTGTACAATCACTGTCTCTCCCTACCTGTATTAGTAATAAAGGATGCCTGTACAATCACTGTCTCTCCCTACCTGTATTAGTAATAAAGGATGCCTGTACAATCACTTTCTCCCTACCTGTATTAGTAATTAAGGATGCCAGTACAATCACTTTCTCTCCCTACCTGTATTAGTAATTAAGGATGCCTGAACAATCACTCTCTCCCTGCCTGTATTAGTAATTAAGGATGCCTGTACAATCCCTCTCTCCCTGCCTGTATTAGTAATTAAGAATGCCTGTACAATCACTCTCTCCCTGCCTGTATTAGTAATTAAGGATGACTGTACAATCACTTTCTCTCCCTACCTGTATTAGTAATAAAGGATGCCTGTACAATCACTTTCTCCCTTCCTATATTAGTAATTAAGGATGCCAGTACAATCACTTTCTCTCCCTACCTGTATTAGTAATTAAGGATGCCAGTACAATCACTTTCTATCCCTACCTGTATTAGTAATTAAGGATGCCAGTACAATCACTTTCTCTCCTTACCTTTATTAGTAATTAAGGATGCCAGTACAATCACTTTCTCTCCCTACCTGTATTAGTAAGGATGCCAGTACAATCACTTTCTCTCCTTACCTGTATTAGTAATTAAGGATGCCAGTACAATCACTTTCTTTCCCTACCTGTATTAGTAATAAAGGATGCAAGTACAATCGCCCTCTCTCCCTACCTGTATTAGTAATTAACGATGCCAGTGCCATCTTTGCGTCTCCCTCCTGACATGTCGGGTACTATCGCTGCTTTTTGTAGAAATTGCCTCCAGTTATTCTCATGAAATGTATTTGTAACTAATCATTGAAATGAAATATTTTGATGATTTATAATAAAATCTTAGTGAATGACGAAGGTTATGGTGTTTGATTACAGAAACCAATTTTTGGCGTTGTTGTGATGACAAATTAGACTCTGACAAGGACAAATTAACAGTCCTGCTGGTGAAGACGTTTAACTTGCTGCTTAAGTCCACTTCTGTAAGCAAGCACTTCCATAAGCAGTACCGAGAACTGCTCCTGAAATACACAAAGGTAAATATATACAGGAACAGATTGATCCCGTTAACAGTGACCAGTAAGGGTAGTAGTAGCAGCCCTAGAAGTTGGTCTGTTGGCTTAAAACTTTTTCTAACACCTACTCAACCTAAATGAGCAGCAGTTGAACAGTTCAAGAAGCCATTCTGGTCACAGTGGAATACACTGGATCCCTGCCACTCTTTTTGCACACGTTTTATTGCAATGTCATAGAATCATTGAGAGCTGCCACCCATTGTTCAAATGTCTCATTGCAATTTCGTAGAGATATTGAGAGCTGCCACTCTTAGTTTGTTTTTGTATACCCTGATCAAGACATTGTCTTTTAAATCAAATAGTAGCTTGTGCTTCAGAGTTGTTACTTCTGTATCAAAGAACCCTGAACTACATCTATACTGTACATGTGTGTAAATGTGTATTTCTATTTTATCACCACACAGTTCAGTGTTTATAATGACCTTCACCCTAATTGGCGCTCTAAGAATTTTTCGGAATTTTAATTGAAAAACTAGAATTACAAAAAATACCCAAGTAAAGGGGACAAAACCAAATCCAAGTTCATCTTTGTACATGTACATTGTAAAATATGCTGAGAATTCCTGTATGTTTTTTTCAGGAGATATATCCAGACATACTTGCCCTGCTGCGGATATTGGGACTGATGTGGACACAGCACTGTAACCCTGACCACTCCGTTCTAAAACTGACTGTCATCACACAAGCCAGTGCTCTACAGATAGGCAACGCCCACCTTCTTAATGTGACTCCTGAACAGATCAAGGTTATTACCTCAAACTTCACACCTGGTAAGATATATTTTGTTTTGCATTGGCTTCTGACTCCAAACTATATCCCCATGAGTCTATTACCTTGAATGACTAACTCAAATGTAACATGGTTTTTGATATGGCAAACTTAACTAGCGAGGTCAACATGTTATCAAGGTGAAATCATGTACAGTAGGTATGAAGAATTAAAAGTAAATTGTGCCTCTCCAGATTATTTCATGGTCGTTGTAGATTTATCAGATTTTTAATTCCTCCATAATGAATTTAATATGTGTACAGATAAAAAAAAAATGCATTTTAACATTGTTCAGAATAAAATCAGACTTACCAAACTTCATTTACTGATTAAATCCAAACTGGTAATAAATAAGTAGCAATTTCATGCTTAAACAAAGAATGTAATGGAGTCAGGAATTCTTTTGTGTTTTTCTTACTGTCTGCCTGTACATATTCACAAAGAATTACTCCAAGACCGATTGAGAAGCATCTATATGATACTGAGGAAATGGTTTTTATTCTTGTTATTTCATCTGGAGACCCCATTTTGTCATTGCTGTTCCTCCTGAATTACTTAAGTGAAACTTAATATAGTGAAACTTAATACAGATAGTACTCACATGTAGACAGTTTCCTTGGCTGTTGGGAGAGGTATGCCCCTTTATTTACTTGAGTTAAAAAGCCTTCTACATATTAAAAATAAGAAACATTGCTAACATCTCACCTATTATATGAACATTTAGTATGTATAAATGCCATGTTGTACACCTGCCTTTATATTATATGTATTTCATGTTCTGTGATATTCTCTGAATGTCATCCTTAGATACTGAATTTGAATCGAGAGAATAGTCATAAAATAATTAGGGCTTGCAAACTTGATGGTATGGGGGTTGTGCTAGGGGTAATCCCCCGGTATATAGTTGGCCTCTGGATAACTATTCTAGTTTGTATTGGGTTTTCCTTATGCAGTTAAAGTCCCTAACCACAATTCATGTTTCAGTACTGATGAACTTGATGGTAGCGATGACGTCCCCTCACCAGGGACTCCGGGACTCAGCCGTAGGATGTGTGGTCGCCATGGGAACTATGCTGAAGGAAACAGACCATGAGATGTTACCACTTGTCAAAAAGTTGATACGCTGTCAGCCTGAAATATTAGCAGATAGCAATTATGTCTCTCAGGTATGTTTTAAAGATTACACGATAAACTTTGTCAGTTAATTATAAAACAGCAAAAAATGAATGGCATAGGCCTTTTTAAGTCTTCCATGACTATTTATAATAGACAACTGTAGTTTATTGAGAGATTTATTGTTTATAATTCCTACTCTCATAGATTTGTGTTTTACTCTCATAGATATGTATTTTAATTTTTCTTATTATAAAGGTACTTTCATCGGTTTTCAAAGATTGTGATAAAGAATCAACAATGGAAACACCTCGTAAAAAGAGAAAATCAGTTACACGAAATCTCAAAGCAAAAGCACTAGACATGATAGTAGCAATAATTGTTGCCATGGAAACTCCAGCTTTCATACAGAGGGCAGCACTGGAGCTACTACAGGGTCTAGAAACACAGGTGAGAAATTATTCTGGAACTTGAAATGTATGTTGTTGCTTGATATATAAAAAAGTTTGGACTTAAATTTCTTGAATTACCTTGACCACTTTTAATGTTACAGGGGTCAAATTTGTTAAAACCTTTGATGATAAACAGCTTCTTTTGTATAACAAAGAGGCATGGGGTACTGATTTTTTCACAGTAACTTGCTTGGATTAAGAGTCATCAGATTCATTCATATGAATTACTTTGACCCACTTTCAAGGTCATTGGAGTCAAATATATAAGTACCTTTCAGAAACTTATTCTGAATAACCAAGAGGTCTGGGGTCAGGATATATATGTCCTTTAGCTTAATGGTTTGAAATGCTATAATATGTGGGATCTAAATAAATGACTTAACCTTAAATGTGACATTAATGAAGTTAGACTGCAATATTCCAACAAAGATTTGTTTTATTTAGAGTAATAGAATCTCAATCAAATATCAATAGTGTGTAGTGTTATATATGTTGTTAAATCTTTTTGAATATAGTTGACTTGGAAATTCTTTGAAGGTCACTTATGTGAGATGAATAACGAGTGAGTGGTACAGGTCGTTTGTGCCTCTTGCTTAAAGCAAAAGTTGTATAATAATTAAATCTATCACTTTTTCAGAAATTGTTACAAGACTTGTTTCCACTGCTGACCAAACTGATGGCTGACATTGATAGTGATAATGCAAATAACACCAAGTTTGACTGTGTGAGGTTGATACTACAGCGGTTCTCTCATGAAACAGCGTCTCTACTGCCCTCTGGTGGACAGGGGCTACAACTCTTCACAAAGGCCCTGCAAACATCCAGTGGACCAGATGACAGTTCAACCACTGTGCAGCTATGTGCACTTGGCCAGGTAATGTTACTGGTTGTTGAGTAGATTTTCGATCCACTCTGCTATGTTTGTTTTGGAAATCAGAAGGCAGGTCTGACACTAAATTGTTTTCAAAAATATTTCTTCCAGAAGAATATTAAGATAGAAGTACAGGGGATAAAGAAAAGTTTTTAGTACATATGCTGTTTTCTCAAGAAAAATATTAAATAAATAAAGAGAAACAATAAAGGACGAATTGTACAAATCTTCCTCAAAAGACTCAACTATTGTGAACAATTAATCTCACATTTCCCAACTTTCGGCCAGAGCCAGAAAAAGAAACGGGATAAGATACAACATAGCTATCAATGAAAGAAAACAGAGATATATGGGTATTATTTGATGCATGTCTGTATGTTTTGTTTTGTAGATTGATAAAATCCTGTACAAAGCCTTATCTGAGGAGAGTCAGAGGGCAATCCTCACTTGTCTCATAGATGTGTGGGTTGGTACTGAGAGCCACGTGGTGTCTGGTGCTGTAAGGAAGGTCATCAAACAGGTAGGTCAAGGTCAGGCAGGTTTAGATCTCCACTAAGTCCAACAGTTCTCACTAGAGAACCAAATCAGCTATGAAAAGTATAACAGTTCTCTTTGCAAATTAAAAGCTTTGCAAATTAAAAGCTTTGCAAATTAAAAGCATGATTAGAATGTCCTGTAGCTGTGTAACACTTGTATAAAGAAATGTTTCCATATTTTAAGGAAAGTGTAATTAAAATGTCGATATTGCCAATACAAAAAAATAATCTTATGACAATATTAAATAGAGTATGCATATTGTTTCATACCATTTGTTAAGTTACTTGTATTCTATTGATGTGTAGTTACCCCTGGAGTCAGCAGATGTTGTGGAAGAGCTTCAGTCCTGTTGGAAAGCAACATCTACCTCGGCCAATACAGTCAAGGAGACCAAAAGGAGGAAGAGGTGAGAGTCCTTCTATCACTCAGGGTCTAAGACAGGATCTTAAACATGAGAATTTGAAAGTTAGATCTGAACTAGAGTCCTACAAAACTTCAGACAACATTCTTAGGCTGAAACAGGATGTTTTTTTTTCTTTCTAATGAATGGTGTGTTTAATCCCTCAGACAACAGGCTGAGACAGATGAGGAGTTTAACCGTCCAGGTTGGCGTCGTGCCACCATGATCCTGGAGGGTATCCATGAGAAGAAGAGGCTTGCTAACTGTAAACTCCTGTTGCCTGTCTGCTTCCAACTCCTTACACGGTAGGAACATTAGTTGTGTTTTCAAATTTATTACATATGGAGGGGAAAACATGACATTCATGACAATCTAGTATTATATAATTGGACTCTGTTACTGTACAATAATTTGTTTTAATGATATTATGAATTAATAGTTATCCATCCAGCGAGTTCATTGTTTAGTTCTGTCTTGTTGCCCTACAATGACATAACAGCAAGCAAAGTATACGATGAAATCTTTTAATATTATGTTCAGGTATTATTTCAAATTGATACAGAAATGTCTGTAGAATATCGTAGAATTTCACGATTGTTTGTATTTCCCTTTTATGACTCATACATGACACTTTGTTGTGTATTTACATCCACAGTTTTATGGGTATTGTGTGATAGTGCATATAAGTGTAGTGATAAAATGCCCAATTTTACTGGAATGATTGTTACCAAAGTGTTACTTCATACCCAGAAAATGTACCTGTTAAAGGTGTTGCAATGTTTTAAGACCATCTGTTTACCTGTACAACATTGTGACAATTGTTAATTTCATATGTCACTCAACGTTAACGGTTCGCCTATCGATAGAGTGTATTCACACTGTATCATATATGAAGTTTACAGTTTCGTCACTCCGTTGTACAGGTAAACATTACAAATCACTCACTCAGTCATAGCTTGACAAAGGGACCAGTTCGTCTTGAGATGTCGCAACACGTTTAACGCATACATTTTTTGTGTATGGAGTAAAATTTGAGAACCGGTAATACTGTTTTCCAAACTGATGAATCTGATTGAAGATATTAACTGGCATAAGTTTATACAAACTAATCTACTGCAAACATTTTATATCAACAAAATGGTTTGTAAAAAGAACAACATAATTATTTCTTGTGATACAGTAATTCTCACATGGATACACTGTGCAAAAAGAGATGAATTTATCAATCCTGTAAGTCAATGCATTGTAATGACAAGATTTGTTATTGACAGTGTGTTGGACTCGGATCAGCATAGCTCTGCAGAATATATCAAACAACTCATTCTGTCACTGGTCAACCACATATGTGTAAGGATCCAATCGGGTGAGGAAGAGAAAGGTAAGAAACAAAACCTAACAATCAGCTGTACCGACTCCAGCATTCCAATCCTTGTGTTTCTTGGTACAAAACCTAACGATCACCTGTACCGACTCCAGCATTCCAATCCTTGTGTTTCTAGGTACAAAACCTAACAATCAGCTGTACAGACTCCAGCATTCCAATCCTTGTGTTTCTAGGCCTGAGTCAACTTCTAATGATTCCAGGATCAACTTGTGTAATAGATATTGTTCATCTTTCAAATGGGGGAAAATATTGCCTTTGTCCACTCACCTTTTAGGGGTAGGTTTGAGAAGTAAAGTAAGAATTGAAAATGTACTGTTGGGGTCCAATGTGTAACCATCGATAGGGAGTGAAAATGAAAAGGCATACCTGTATAGATAAATTGTTATTTTAATCTTTGCAGAAGCAATCAAGGAAGAGAAATTCAACATGGAGCTGATTGTTCAGACAATCAGAACATCAAGTAACCCTCAGACTCACAATCAGGCCCTATTGGTTCTAACAACAGCTGCTAGACTATACCCTGTAAGTGTAACAGGAAAGAGAGTAGTGTGTTTCAGTTGAGGTCGATTCATCAACACCCAGCTTCCCAATCTGCTACTTTAGCAATTGAGCTGAAGGAAATTCCTTCTAGCACAAAGCCAAAAGGCCACCGTTATCCCATTGAAAATAAAAACCTTCCATATATTGAAGTGCCAGAAAGTTTGTTGATTCTAAGAACAGCTGCTAGCTAGACTAGACCCTAAAGGTACCAGTAGTTCTCTGGTTTCTGATTGTAGCTGCTGACTGTACTTTGTAATTAACTGTTTGTCTGTCCACAGATGTCAAACATTGATAGCATTAAAAAAAAAATGAGAAAGGTAAAATTGTCATTATGGCAATAATTGATATAGTATGTGTAAAATCAGCTTTAATTTGATCTATGTACATGTATATGTTTGTATCTTAGGAACACCTACTACACAACGTGATGTCTGTGTTCACATTCATGGGTGCCAACATCCTGCGACAAGATGATGCTTACAGTATAGAGATCATCGGGCGCATCCTGGAAAATGTCATACCAGCGCTTATAACAGTAAGTACAGTACTGAACAGCCTTCTCCCAACTTTGTACTTTCAACATTATTAATAATCTATCTAGACATGTTTATTTTCCCCCCACATCAGATGTCAGAGAAAATATTATGTTCAATAAAAATACCAAAGTGCTTGGTTAGGATTGATTTTCAGGTCGAAAAGTAAAAGGTCATGGTCATGGTTACGCTATAAAATACTGTCGTGGATTCTCGTACCATTGCCAAAAAACACTAACTACACATTGGCAACTGACTTTATGGCCTGACAATAGCTTCAAATCATTTCTGAACAGTAATCCATACCTTGCGGGACTTTTATGAAAAAGTAATATGAAATAAACATATAATTAACAGCTGTGTTCTGAGTGTAAAAATGCAGCAGGGCTAGACGGGGATTCCAACCCTGGACTTCAGATTGTTATACTAGTGCTCTAACCGACTGAGCTATCTCATCATTGGAAGTGTTCTGGCCCAACTGTACTTCAGTTATATCCAAAACGAAAATAAGGGGAGGTTACTATATATACAAAACAACAGTGCAGTGGGAGAGGAAATGTAAAAATGGAAATAACTTTTTGTTAGGTCACCTGAGACAAAGTCTCAAGTGACCTATTGCGATCGCCTTTTGTCCGTCGTCGTCCGTCGTGCGTCCGTAAACAATTTACATTTTCGACTTCTTCTCCAAAACCCCTGAACCAATTTCAATGAAATTTTGCAGGGACCTTCCATGGACAAAGGTCAACAAAAAT